AAAGGAAATTTTTTAAACATGTATAGACTTTAGACCAATACACTGTTTTTTTTTCTGCTACATGAAATCCACCCTATTTATTTAGAATATAATATCACACTCCACTTTTATAACCCTCTCTTTTTTTAATTACTAGGTACAATTATGTGGAACCATAGTAACAAAAAACGATGACAATTACAATGCAGATGTTAAAGTGCTCTTGACCTGTTCCGAGGGGGGATAGATTTAAGAAATGCATATGACAGTTATGTTTTATGGGGTTCACCTCTTCCCTTGAAGGATATAAAATGAAACTAGCTCCCACAGTGACACAGCAGTACTCATAAATACTAGAGATTGGATATTCCCATACAGTACTATAACAGTGCTCATAAGTCCTCAAGAATGGAAATTCCTGTTCCTCTGTTGTATGGCAATGATACTTACAGGTACTGTAGAGTGGGTGCTACTGTTAAGTGGTGATGTTTCGTGGTCTTGTATGTCGCTCACACTGGTGGTGAACGTTTCATCATGTGCCTGGTATGCCACCCCACAAAGAGGTAGTTAAGTAAATCCCTTAGATTTCTGTTGCTCGGTTCCGGGTCCAGAGCCCACATTTCTATTTCTAACAATGACGTGACTTTTAAGAATGTTTTAGACAACTTGCCAGTCAGCAGTTCATTTAATATCTTGCCGATTGCTACTCACCAGAATGAAAATCAGGATGAGGTTTGAAACCATCTTTGTACAAATCTTAAAACGGGAGTTTCTGAGGTTTCTGCAGCTCAATTAATGTAAAACAAATGACCAGGAGGGTAAAGGACAATTTCATGACTAATTTTAACTAGGCGGGGGGCCTGAACCAAAACCTAGTTCTGAACAACCCAAACTTTGGATCAAGAGCCATGTGTGAATGTCAAAACTGGCTCCTGTGATCTTGCTAATGAGCGGAATTTATCCTCCAGATCGGGACACTTGGGGAAGTTCAGATCTGGCCTACCTCTCATTCTTACATACTACTATAATTAAGAATGACAATTAAAAACCTCTCATCCTACAGCCTAATAATTCCCAGCCCTCACTTCTTATAGGTATCAGGCTTGATGAGAAATCCTTTCCCTGAGCCTGTGACCCTCAGACTGGCCCACGTGGCTGGCAAATGTTGCGCTTCACTTTCTGTAACCAGACATGCACTGTAAAATATCCCCCTGCCCTCCTCCCCCACCAAATATATATATATATTTAAATTTATCTAAAGTAATGTTGAACATTTCTATTCACCCACAACAACATGCAACTTATTTTTGCCAAGGAAATTCTGTGCCTAGGATGGTAGATGCTTTTGCAAGGCTGTTCTATGGGAATGATAAATACACAAAAAAAATTAAGGCAGAGGAATATTTTCACAGACAAATTCCAGCTTGATTTAGGTAAAAGATGCCATGGGAGGGATTTCCGAAGGCAGTTAGAGGAGTTAGGCACCCAAATCCTTTGACTATCCCAGCCCATGTGTGCAAATATTCACTCTAATCCCTGGGGTGAAATTCCAATGGAATTTCTCCTGATTTACATTGGTGTAAGAGGAAAATCAGGCCCATTGACTTCAATGAAGTTACCCCTGAGCTACATCATGCTAAGTAAGAGATGAATGCAGTAGTTTTGAGCCTTTATGTGCGGCATTGATTTTTACATAATAAAGTCATGGTGTAATTCTAAAGGAGAATGATGCTTTTTTTTTTAAACTTACAAAAAGGATGAAGTGTGTAATTTATGTAGTACAATGCATGGCGGGAGCCAATAATGCGACAAAGCCAGAAATGACGAACGTTCTGCGGAACACATTAGTCTGACAAGGGCACAGCAGAGATTAATTAAACTGGGAGCTAGGTTAAGTGCGAAGGAACTGAATCTCTGCTGGCGCGAACTAGCCGAACTCCCTCCTTGACTCCAAGGTCATTATTCACAGGGCCTGGTGTCTTGCTTTCTGAACACTAGGTTGATGAAGAGTGAGGCAGGAAACCACCATCAAGAAACGAGGCCACACTGACCCCTAATTTAACTCCAAAGCCTGCAGTTACGTTAGCCCTGGGGTGAATTTAGTTCAGTGGGCCCGATGCACTCTTTTTCTTCCATCCAATTATTTTCTTGTTCCAGTTTTGAAGGAACTATGGTCTCAGTTTAGAAAAAAACACACTTAAACACACACAAGTCCCATTGACTTGTGACTTAAGTACGTGCTTAAGTGCTTTCCTGAATCAGCGTTTATCCTAATACTTCCCTTCCAAAACTGTTGGATAATGTTGAATTATAACCGTTTCTGCCTCTCAACGCCCAGGAGGCTGCATTTCAGCATTGGGGGAAATGAAGCGATCTCTACACAAACTAAGTGCTCTGATGCTTGTTAGAGGTGCTATGTTAAAGGAACACATTTAATCAAGGAGAACAACAGTTTTAGGGGGGTATGCAGAACACAGCGAAAGGCAGGCATCTAGGGCCCTGTACCATTGCATTATTAGCGGAGCTGATGGAGTTCCACCAAAGTTCACGTCTGGAATGGAACAGTTCCGAGTCATTTTTGTGGGTGATAATAAAAACGTGTTACCACATAATCAACACAGAACAGTGGCAATGGAGTCTTTTGCATTAAAACAACCTGTTTTAAATGAGTGCTCTGCTGATAAATGCTGTAAAGGATTTAAAGGTGCGTAGCGCAATAATCCAGAACACACTGTTCCACATTGACTGCATATATTTAACAGTCACTAAGATGTGCACTGTAGTTCTAAGTACATTTTCCAAAACTGGTTTGGGCTCAGAGGACTCAACAGCTTAGAAGTCCCAAGCAGTTCTAAGGTTGGATAGCAAAGACTTGAGCCGGTTGAATAGTACTCATTGAATAACTTGGACAGATTGTATCATATTCTCTGAGCAAATTATTCCGTGTAATCTTTGATCCAGCTATAGGGCTGAGCTGGCAGTCGTACAGAATTTGATGGAGAATAGTGTCCTTGCTATAGAAGTTTGAAACCAACCCGTGGAATTCTCTAGCAAGGATACAGTTCTCTGTTCAGTTCCATAGCTCGGTTTCAAAATCCTAAAGAAAATCAGTGACTTAATTCTGTAGATGCCCAGAGTGACTTCTATAGGACCCTATTGGTTTCATGCCTATTAAGTTCCAGAGGACTTTCCCCTGAGGGGACAACATAATTAGTATGATCACAAATAATTTCAGAGATTTCATTACAGTTTTAAAATATAAATTACTTTTGTGAACAATAGTTGATGGCAACTTTTGACCCAAGGCAGCTCTGAAGAAAAAGGTTTCTTGCCTTGCCCTTCAATTATTTGCAATCTTGTTAGCTGTTCTTGGGAGACAGAACCCTGAACTCAGGTCGCAGGCAAACTATGAGATAAAGTCTATCCCTGTTCAGCAAAGCACTTAAGCATATGGTTAACTTTATAACTTCTATTGCAGAGATATAATTCTCTATTCAATTCTATAGGCTGGTTCAAAAAAGACTTGCAGAAAGGATACCATTTACTACAAAACCAATGGTATCGCATGAGGGGAAGTCGGGACAGAATAAAACCTGAGCTAATGAGCTGGTTTGGGTGCAAAACCAGACAAAGCTCGGTGGGGTAGGAAACTAGCCAGGTTTAGATTGAGACACTTAACCCCTATGAACCTAAAGCACCACATCTCACAGAACTCTGTACAGGGACATTGGAACAATTTGCCTAGTGAGGGTGCTGAAAGCCAATGAACCAAATTGTAAACCCTGTATATGATGGAAACCACTTCAAGCCGAGGGTGCTGCCACAGCCCCAGCACCCTGGTACTGGAGCCATTAAACTACTGGCGGGGGTGGTTTCAGCCGCAACTTTTCAAAGCGCTGTCTACACAGCTATTTCCAGAGCACTAGTGCAAGCCCAAGTCTGGGAGGCTTGCTGACATCCCCTATATGGTTAGGAGACTTACAAGGGGAAAATGTGGTGCTATAGGGAAGGGCACTTGCGTTGCTTTGCGGGACTTTTCTCAGGTCAGCCCTGAGCCATTGCCTCAACATGGTATTTCAAGAGAAAATTCTGCTGGAGATATAATCTTGTGGATTGACACCCCCCCCCCCCCAGGAAATTAGGTCCTGATTCTGCCAGATGCTAAGTGCTCTGAATTCCTGCTGACTCTGTGGCCCTCCTCTTGGCCTCTGTTTATAGTGCCATAGAGGAATAATAGTAATATTGTATTTACAGTGATGTCAGTGTACTTGGCACTGTATAATGCACAGAGGGAGATATATGGTCCCCTTTCCCAAGGAGTCTACATTCTAAATAGCCCAAACAGTTCAAACCCAGAAAACATCAGATTGTTAATTATTTGGAAGCGGTGTCCCATAACTCAGATACAGCTGGCATTTTGAGTAATATGACTTACTATTGAGCAGAGCTGTGTGGAGAAAAGAGGAAAAATTGCCACCATTTTAAAAATTCTTTGTTCTCCCCACCTCCCCTGCACCCCCCACTTTTTTTTTAAATTCCATAATTGAGCTGTGTCTGAACATCAGGGAAAATGTTGTCCAAATTCCCCTCTTCAAATTTCAAAATTTTGTCAGAATTTTGAAAATTGCCACCGGTGCCAGTTCTCGGGCCTCGAAATTCATTTCATACAGGCTGCCAAGCTTCCCTTCAGTAACAAGTTGTTACTGACCTGAGCTGCATTTATACAAGTGACCTAGAGAGGTGAAAGGCTCCGTCCCCTAATACTAATGCTGCTCCACACAGCCCTGCAAACACCTCAATACACTGAAGCCCATTGGGGTTCAGGACACACAGTAGAGTCCCTGGAGTGCAGTAATTGGACCTAGTCACTTATAGACTTGACCCTGAAAGGTTCGATTGCCCAGCATCTCTCATTGACTTCAATGGGAGCTTCTGGGGCCGAGTTCCTCTCGGAATCCAGCGTTATGGAGTATGGAGCCATCTTGCCCGATTACGTTTTTCTTCCTGTGACTTGTGTCTAGATTCTTCTGCTCGAGTCTGCAGAGCGTGCCCCCACTTCAGAGAATGACCTGCCAATCGCCAGGACGACAGCCACGTGGTACGATGACTTGCTCCCAGATGCTATTCCCCTGGTAAATCCTGGGACCGTGTTGAGGAAGCCGATGGGACCAGCTGGTAAGCATATAGCCAGGCATTCGCTCTGACTGCCTTCTGTAGTGTCAGATTCCCAGTACAAATCCAAATGTGAGTTATGCATGATAACTAATGAATAAGCTGCTTCAGTGCAACTTGAACATAAGAATGGCCGTACTGGGTCAGAACAAAGGTCCATCTAGCCCAGTATCTACCGACAGTGGCCAATGCCAGGTGCCCCAGAGGCAGTGAACTTAACAGGTAATGATCAAGTGATCTCTCGCCTGCCGTCCATCTCCACCCTCTGACAAACAGAGGCTAGGGACACCATTCCTTACCCATCCTGGCTAATAGCCATTAATGGACTTAACCTCCATGAATTTATCCAGTTCTCTTTTAAACCCTGTTGTAGTCCTAGCCTTCACAACCTCCTCAGGCAAGGAGTTCCACAAGTTGACACTGCGCTGTGTGAAGAACAACTTGCTTTTATTTGTTTTTACTTGGTCTTAGAAACTGCCTTGGGTTTGAGCACATCCATGACTCGCAGTGAAATATTTCCTGTTCTTTCTAGCTGTCGGGTCAGACAGTGGGAGTTGTAGGAGAAGGTTTTCAGATGGGCAGATATAAGTTGCACCCATGACATTTGTGCCCATGTTTTTGAGCCTACAGGGAACTGCATGTGCCAGTCCCAGCACTTGTGCCTCCAGCTACCTTAGGGCAGTTGCACACTGGAGGGTTATTGGCCCAGGTCCTCAGATTTGCCTCTGCAGTTATCTTTGCACCTGCAGCAAAGCGGTGGGAGCTTCAGCCTGGTTGAAAATATACATTACAAAGAGAAAACAAACCCCACAGAGATGTGTTTTCAGAAGTCTTAGCCTAACTTGGAGGGATGGAGTAGAACCAGGGCCGGCTCTGGCTTTTTTGCTGCCCCAAGCTGGGGGGAGGGAGCGGGGGGGAGAGAGAGAAGGGGGGCAGCCAGGGCTTCAGTGGGGCGCTCGCCACGCGGCCCCAACGGCCGTGCTGCCTGCTGGGAGGGCTCCAAGCTGCTCCGGTCGGCTGGGAGGGAAGGACGCGGGCTGCCCTGCTGGGCTTGCTGCAGGGTGCTCCCCTCCTCCGCGCCGCCGCCCCCTACAGGGTGGCCGGAGAGGAACAACACCACCAACAAAAAGCGGCCGTGCCGCCTAGGATTGGTCGGAATGCCGCCTCCTACAATCTGCCGCCCCAAGCACCAGCTTGCTCGGCTGGTGCCTGGAGCCGGCCCTGAGTAGAACCAATGATGGTGAGATTTGGAGCCACACTTCCCCACAGCTGGAGGCTATTCAGATGTGGGAGTTTGATTTGACCTGTCATAGCTGTAAGGACCATTTGTGAATCTTATCTTCCCAGAGCTCCGGGTCTCTCTCTGCTAAATGGTGAACACAGATCTCGTGTTCACACCCCCAAAAGGGTATACTTGGGTGCAGCTGCCTGTCACTCTAGTAGAACGTGGGATTCGCGTGCACAGTTTAGGCGGTTCGCTGGTGCAGCACAGCTCTGTGGACTGCATTTTTCCTTCTCTCTGAAAGAAGAGATCTGTGAGTTACAGGTGAACTGCATAACGTAAAAATGAAACTAAATCCTGTACCGTTTTCTGGCACGTTGCAGGATCACCTCCTATTTCTCCTCTTTAATCCTCCCCTCAAGCCATCCTTCCAGTCAAGGGGAGCTGGATATGATTTCCTCAAAGCCCATTATTACTGTTCTTGCATTGGTGAGGATGCTATTCTATAAAGTGAGGAGCTTTTTGCTTCTTTTCATGCTCCTCAGCCTCCGCAGGGTAGAGCAACTGCATCCCAGGAAGAAAGTGGCCAACCTCAGGGGGGAAAAAAAAACATTCCAGCCCCATTTTGCCAGCTTTACTGGTCTGTTCTTAAACTGTTTTTGTGTTGGCCCAAGAAATCACTAAGAGCTGACTCCTGGTTGCATTGACGCTAAGCTCCCATTAGGAGCAGTAGGTATTCCTGTGTCTTGTAAGGAAAACGTTTACACCCAATGGATGGGGATTTTCACTATGAAACATTCCTGAAAAATCGAGACACCCTGGGGGTACTCTAGAAAGGACAATTAATGCTCATCTATTGTATTCAGAATGTAGCACTTCTCTGGCAGCGAGCCCTGGGCTGGAAGGCTATTGACGTATTAACAGGAAAGATGTTCTGTTAATGATAAATTAGTGGCACTAGACAATATATTTTTTTTTAAATTGAGCATAAACAGATTTGGGCTGTTTTATGATCCCTTCTGTGGTGTGCAAAAAAAAAAAAAAGTTACAACAAATCTTCAGCTCAGCCGTCTTGGCTAGACAGATCTCCTAGCGTGTGTTTCTTTGACCTTGGCACGCTCACGTCAAGATCCTCACTTTCTGCTTCCAAGGCCCTGTCTGACAATTGCTTTCCCGGCTCCCAGCGTTCTTCTGTATCTTCCACCGGGCCTAGAGTTGGTTTTTGTTTTCCTTTTTTGCCAGAGCAGTTTATTATGGCAGCCCTTCACGGCTGCAGCCGGCTCGGTGCACGGATGCAGCCAACGCAGACCAGATGTAATCCTTGTTTATAATTGGACAGGATGCCACAACAGGGAAGGGAGGCTTTCTAACGATATGTGCTGCAAAGTATTTTTAGCACAACAACTACGGTTGCCAATAACTGAATTAAAGCAGCGTTTCCCCAAGCGTCCATTAGATGCTCATTCCTTCTTCCCCATGTCATTTATTTTTGCTCTTGAGGTCTCTCTGCACCTGCACTTCATCTCATCAGTGTCTGCCCAGGAACAAGATTGAAGACTCCACCCATCTGACTTAAATTTCCTTACTCCACTTCAGGGGTCCATGGGCATGATATTTTCCCTTGTTCTCTCACAGTGTTGGGAAGTTACCTCCTGCCTAGGCCACTGCCATTGTTGTTCCAAGGGTGGTTCCCATTAGAAGTGGGTTTGGGTTTGAAGCTTTGAACGGTGGGAATGGTTCAGAATGCCCTTGTAGTGTTGACTGGCTGAGACCTTTCCAGGCTAAGATCCAGAAAAACTTGCTACTGTTTACTCGGGTTGATCTTTCTTCCCTGACTGACAGGAGTTAGAATAGACAGTCCTTTAAAAGCAATTAGAACTGTTGAGACAGCTGCATCATTGGCCTTTCTGATCAGCTCGTTAATCAACTGGCCTGTATTTAACTGAGGATTAAAAAAAAAAGACTCAGATTTTAGCTAGTGGGTAATGGGAGATGTATTTTTCATCTACATTTCCTCTCCACCCTTCTGCTCTTTTAATTAGAGTCTAAGGCATCTGAGCAGCCAGTGCCAAAGAGAAAGTGATTGGTGTATCTATTTTTCCTCTTTCAAAGCACAAAATGTTGTTTGTTTCTGTATCTATGGTGCCTCCAGGAATGCAGTACAGCCCAGATCCTGAGCTTCAGATGAAAGAGTCCTCCTATAATTTGGGGTGGGGGAAGTACCGGAGAGGGATGTGTGGGGATGTGGTGCCCTGTAGGTGCAGAGAAGTTGGGTTTCTTCTTTGGGTTTTACCTCTCCCTTGCTGGCATGGCATTAACTCCCCAGGGCAGACTTTCCTCTGTCCTCAGATGTTGGGGAATTTAGAATACCAGCTGCACAAGGAGGGATAAAACTGCTGCTCCAGATGGATAGTTGGAGGCAAAAGGGGCTAGCAAATGTGTTACTGAGTGAAAAAAGAAACCCACATCTGATGATGATTATTTACCTGTATTACAAATAGCTAGGTGCCTAGAAACGCTGACTGAGATCAGGGCATCGTTGTTCTAGGCACCATACAAACAAACAGCTCGTGAGAGACAGTCCCTGTCCCAAAGAGTTTCCAATTAAAATAGACAAGCCAGACAAAGGATGGGAAAGGAAAGAGGCACAGAGAGTTGGCCAAGATCACGTGGCAGAACCATGAGTAGAACCCAGATCTTCGAAGTCCTCGTCTGGGGCCCTAGCCAATATGCCACAATGTTCCCCTCCCTCGCCGGCTCTCATCATTTTCAAGGATATACACATTGAGCCAGATTCTCAGCTGGTGTAAATCAACACCGAAAGATTTCACTGGAGCTACGCTGACTTATACTAGCTACAGACCTGACCCACCGGTTTTGTTTTCTCTTTTCTTGTATTCTATTTTTTTGCATTTGTCTCTTTTGAGCCGGTAACACTATTTGTCACCAGTCTGAGCATTTGTCTGACACATTACTCAGTGTTGCAGCTCCTGGTCCTTCCATTAGCACTTTCTACCTGCAGGGAAATAAGTGCCATCTCCTTTAAATCTCTTCTGTAACAGCACGATTGAGGCTGTTGGCAGCAAATGATGGCTCTTAGTCTGTAGAAGTTAACAGGGTTGAATTATAATGGTTGAACTTGATGATTGAGGCCATTTTATATGATCAAGGGCATATTTTGACCCAAGCTCAGTGCGTTGTGCCTGAAAACAGTCAAATTTTTTTTTTTATTCCTCCCTCTGTGCAGGAAGGAATTCTCAGTGACGACAATTCCGAATTTTGTGTGTGTGTGTGTGTGTGTGTGTGTGTGTGTGTGTGTGTGTGTGTGTGCGCGCATGTTTGCTTTGGCACATAGTCTAGTGGCTGCTTACAGTGCCCTGCTTGGACGGCCTTCTTTCCTTAAAGGGACCAAGGCACACCTACCTGAGCTTGCCAAATCTATCATCTTGTCATGTTAGATGACTCCCGTACCAGATCCACGAGGCTGGCCCTGTTAGACATTGAAAAGCCTTTGTGTTCTGTGGATGAACACTCCTGTTTGGGGAAAAATGAAAAACCTTCCATGACTCTTTGCTCTGCACTCAAATCAAATCAGAACTCTGTTTGATGGCATAAAATAGTCTAATTTTTAAAAAACCCTTCAAATCCGATCCAATCGTTTTCGTTTCCAGATCCAGCTGGGATAAGCAGTGGAAGTTCCAAAACATTGTGAGAAAAATACTTGTGTCAATATTTACAAACCAGAAGGAAGGACTAGGGATCTGTTCTCTTGTGGTTAACATCTCCAAGATACGCAGATAGTTTGGATGAGCATTTGGGGCGCGAGCTCTGTACCCCAAGTATGCTCTGCGCACCCAGAATGGGAATCAGATCCACATCTGCCAAAAAGGTAACTCAGGCTTGGTCTACGCTTAAACATTAGGTCAACATAGCTACGTCGGTCAGAGGTGTGAAAAAACCACAACCCCAGCCGACCCAACCACCAACGTAGATGCAGCTATTCAACTGAAAAATGCCTCCCTTGACATCACTGGGGGAAGTGGTGTATCTTCACCGACAGAAAAACCCCTTTTGTCAGCGTAGGCTGCATCTACACTATGGGGTTGTGTCAGTATAGCTACAGCAACTTAGCTATGATGCTATAGTCTCCATAGTGTAGACATACCCTAAGGATTTGGTCTCCAATGCTTATCTGAAGCTCTTGGAGTTGCAGATCTCATGTGTTCAGCATTTATTGCAAGATCTTCAATCCCTTGCGCACAGGCTGTGAAGCTGCTACCTGGCCAGCCAATGTAACCCACCCCTCCAGAGGCAGCTGGGAGCGATGTCCGAGGGGCTGGTGCCTCTCCTGATATCTAGCTGTGGTGGAGAGGGGAGAAAGGGTGGCATTTCCCTATCTGACAGTTTAAAAGTGTATGAAAATGAAACCTGCCCTCTGTGTGTTTTGAGAGTTACGTTTTCCATTCGCTACATTTACGAGTAAAGTTGGGCCTGAACCAATACCCCAAATCTGAACATTCAGAACTAAACTTCCCCAAAGTTGTGGCTTGCAGCTCTCTCTCTTTCTGAGTATTCTAAAGCCCCTGGTAGCACAGATCTAGGAGCCAGGAATTCCTGAGTTTTTCTAACCCTGTCTCTGACACTGACTTGCTCAGTGCCCTTAGGCAAGTCACTTTTCATTGGGGCCAAAACCATTTACCTACCTTTCAGGATTAAGCAGTGTTTGGTCAGTGAGAGAGAGAGCCACAGCACGTATTACCTGTGTGTGCAAGAACAGTCATAGTGTTTAAAGCACGAGGCTATATAAGTGATAAACATTATTATTATTGTCAGCCCAAAAGAAACAGCAGAGATATTTAAACCGTTCAACCTTTCCTCAACTTAGAGCCCGCAGGAAGAGCTGCCTTCCTGCTTGCATACAATGTACACCCTGCTCTCAGTGCCTTCTGTCTGCTTACCCAGGGTTTCCGAGGAATTGCTCTGTAACTCACTTAACTGGGGTCACTGTGTTGCAAGTATCTCCATGTACTTTTGTTCAGCACGCTCCTCAATGGTACAAATGGGTAACATCTAGCTGCCACGCTGGGTTTGGTTCAATCACGCGTGTTTCTTGACGTGGGCAATGTTTGTATTAACTGGGACATATATTAGATGTAATGAAGTACTAAGTGCATGGAGGAGACATACCACTCCTTTGATGTGTAATAGACAATCTCTTTGTGGTAGTGGAAGTCAGTGTAGTACCTGCTTTCACATAGGTACCAACTGGATCATGTCATATTAGGCTTGTATGGGACTAAAGGCTGGGTCTGGGTTAAGCAGGCGAAGGAGGGAGTGGGGGACTTCTGTAACCCCCTGCCTTGTGCCATGTCAGTGTACTGGTTTGGGAAGGGGGCCACGCCAATTTTAGATTAACACAAGGATGGAGGCACTGGCTAGCATGCTGCCCTGTGAATCAACACTCCAATGGGCATGATCTGCTGACTAGCATAGATGCTGCTGTCTGCAGCATGTGATCGGTGAGCGGAGCTTTCCTGCCCCGTGTTCTGGTAGGCTGGCACTCACGGGGTCAACGCCACTCTCCTCTGCTCCAGCCAAACAGAGCAGGAACTCCCCTTGAGTCAGCTGTACCTTTCAAAATCTCTTTGGGTTGCTTTCTGATGTGTAAGCACGTATAACAACTCCAGTGTTCTAAGCTCCAACGAGTTTCCTATTTGAATGTTTGCAGGGCTACCAGGGCAGATTGGGCCCCCAGGCCCAATTGGACCAGTTGGACTTCCAGGACCACCGGGACCAAAAGGAGACAGGGGACAAACTGGCGAGAGAGGGCCAGCAGGGCCACCAGGTGAGTCTCTGAGAGGAACTCATGCTAGGAAGCTCATCTTACTCTGGACAAACTCCTCTGCACAGAAAGGGCCTGATCACATGACGTGCTGAGCATCTTTAGGTCCCATTGAATCAACTCCCACGGATCAGTGAGTGCTGAGGACATTCAGCCCCTCCCAGGACTGGGCCGAAAGTTTTAAATTAACGTAGACACCCCCTTAGCCCCTCCATGTAGCTGAAGAGTGATTATTCTGGGATGCCAGCAGCATCCAATAGGAGATGTAAAACCAGTCATTGTCCAGCTAGTAAGCAGAGAAGAGCTTTTTTCCTGTTTAGCCCATTCATTGCTGCGTCCTGCTATAGGAGAGCATGCCTAGTTCATGGGGAGGAATTTTGCGTCTCTCATCAGGTACATCAAGCAATCAGATGGTTAACATTGAAACAATAATGCTGTCTACATTAAAAGAAAGTGTTATAGATAGGGCCCTCCCTTCTGAGTACAACCTATCCCTGAGCTAGGAGACCTAACTGTTACTAAATCTTGTGATGGAGACAATGCTACGCCAAGTGCCAGACAAGCGGCATTCGTGTTTCATACGTACTGATTAGCAGTGCTTCATAAATCTCCAAGCCAGGGAAACATTTGAAACCCGGAGTGTGCCTTAAATGTGAGAGTGGCCCCAGAGACGTCTTGGCATTTGCTGCAGTCCTGAAAATGGCTGAGGTCTAGTCCAGGATGTCTGACTCTGGTTCCTCAGAAACGAGAGATCCCTCCAACCCCAAAGAGAGCCGCATTAATCTGCCCATTGCGCGACTGGGTTCCCGACCTGCTTGAGAGGGTCGCTCAGAATAATACTTTGCATTTCTTCGCTGCCTTCCATCGGAGGAACTCAAAGCCCTTTGAACATTAGGGTGATTTCTTCCCCTCCCCGCAGAATTGCAGCGTGAGGCCTATGTAGAACTCCAGCCCATGTGCGGACCCTCTGCACAGGGGTGAGTTTCATCCTTAAGTTGTTAAACCTCACAATGCCCTTGAGCCGGTCAGTCCTTATGATCTTTGTTTTGCAGATGGGGAAACTGAAGCAAAATAGGCTCAACCCCAAATTATCCATATTTAGGTCCGCTAAATAAGAGTGAGCTGACTTTCAGGGGTGACGAATGCCCACACCACACCTCTAACAAAAGTTAAAAATCCTCTGCATTTTGCTAATAGGGACTGTATTGCTGTCATTGTCAGGTGCCTGATGAAATTTCAAGCCAAGTGAAAGGGCTTTTATTTCACTTAACAGATGTGGTTCTGAGACAAACTACTGCTTTTCATTCTCTTTCTCTGTCATCCCCCCCCCCCCCCCCCCCCTACCAGTTCGGTCGATAATGAATATTTTTTTCAAGTAGAAATCTTCAAACTCTTCCCCAGAGAAGCTGTTCTGTCCTCGGCAGTCTCCTGTGGAGTTTATTGAAAAGAATCACTCATTTAAAACTAGTAAACGAGGGTTTTTCAGTGGAAAATTGGGTTTTTTGCTACAAGTGTTTGATTTTCACCAAACACCCCAAAATTGGAATATTTTCACTGAAAACCAAAATTTTTTTGTATTCAAATTTCTGTTAAAAAATGAAAAAATTCCATACAAATTTATTTTTTGGACCAGCTCTATTAATAACTGCCTGTTTTCACCTCTGACCTGGCAGGAATCAATGTGTGATGGGCTCAGCAAAAGGCTGGGAGCCAGGCAGTGCTAAACTGTGATGCCAGGTCTGCCCTTGGCTTGCTTTGTGGCTTTGGGAAAATCATTTAATCCTTCCATGCCTCAGTTTCCCCATCTATAAAAGCAGGGAGAGGGAGATAATGATGCGGACTTAGCTGCCTCTCACGGGGTGTCATGGAAGTTTCCTGAAGGCTTGTGTGGTGCTCTGAAAATGGAAGCTGCAAAGTATTACTATTAATATTAATATTAACCCTTTTTCTGTGTAGCTTCCACTGCTCCATTCCACACTGAATAGCAGCGGTTTCTAGAATCATTTTAAATGGTACACTTCATCCCTCACCAGCAGCAGAAGCCCAGAACATTCCATCCTCCAAGAGCAGAGACTTTTCCTTTTACTGGGACTTTTGCCAATGTAAGGGTTGTGACTGGCCACAGACTTCACCAGCACAGCCCGAGCCCTGCAACTGGATCCAAGGGTGAAGAGATGCTCATCTCAGCCCTTCTGACAGCTCTTGTTATTGGGCAACAGCATTTCTAGACTTAAATTAAATTTTTTCCAGCAGCTTGGTGGGCTTTGTACTTACTCTTTGCCCCAGTGCATCTGCTAACGTGTCTCCAACTTGTCAGAAATCTCCTCTTCTATTTCTTTGCAGGGCTTCTGGGACCTCCAGGACCAAGAGGACTTCCAGGAGAAACTGGGATCCCAGGACCTCCGGGACCTCCGGGGCCACCTGCCACCCCAGGCCTTCCGCTCACTGTCCAACAAGGGGTTCTCTACTCGCTGCAGCCCACAGCTGAAAAAGAAAGTAGGTTTCTTTCAGTGTCCACATCTTTCCGGGTGCATCTGTGAGTGACAGGCTGGTAGCCTGTGCAGAGGAAATCAGATGTTTTCTTCCCCTCCCTGCCCAGTGCTACCATGTCCCGGCTTTCACTGGAGGAGACCAGATGACCTGCATCTCTTATGGATCCTGCTGGGTATTTAGGCAGAGGAACCAGTTTTGGGGGAGGACAGAAGTCAGATTGTCCCATCTCTCCCTGCTGATGAACCTGAACTCTTCATTCGGGTTGTTACTTGAGTCTGGATTAAGAAGCGTAGCTGGGTAGTTTATGGGACTGGGGTTATGGGGGAGGGTTTACGGCTGCCACATGTCCTAGTTTTTCTGGGATTGTCCCAATTTTAAAGAGGCAACTACCGCCCGCAAGCCTAGTTTGCTGGACGTTCATCGGGTTCCAAATCAAACTGAGGCTGCATCGTGATGATGCAACCCGTGTGATGTTAGGTGATAACACGATGATGGGGCACTACAAAGAGCTGAGAGCCTGACATCACAGAGCAACTGTCACAATGTCAGGACGCTCATGTTTGACCCACCAAACGACCTCTCAAAAGTGGCAGCCCTCGAATATTCTAGTTGTAAGGGTGGAAAGTTGCAATGAGAACCTCAGCGGTTTAGTACAAGTTGGAATAACAAAGGAGCATACTTCTTGAGTGGCTTCCTTGTACCCTTCAGAACCTGACCCTATCATCTGCTTGTTTCTTTCATTGTGTTGCCTGTCAGTGCTCCTGCCGTGTTTGTAGACTCTTTATTTATCCTGCAAATGGCTCCCCCTGCTGACTCTGCTTCGCTAGTCTTGCATTGGGATTGTCTTCTACATCAGGGGAAGGGGGGAGGCTGTGTGGCCTAGTGGCTAGAGCACCGGACTAGGACTCAGGAGATCTGGGTTCTGTTCCAGGTCAGCCACGGGCCTAGTGGGTGACCCTTGTGCTAGTCATTTCATCTCTCTCTGCCCCAGATTAGCTCCATCAGTACATCTACTTTGTGATCTACTGATGATAAGAGGGTGGGGGTGGTATTGTGGTGTCAAAACTGACCCTTCTTTTCTTCAATCTTCTCAATCAGGGAAAGGGAAAATCTTCCTGTTTGAACCATAATGCTCTGAGCCAAATTCTGTTCTAAAATCTGCTTTGGGATTTCAGTGGGGCACCTGGGATAACTGAAAGCAAGAGTCAGGACATGGGGGTACAAATCAGAACTAATGCAACTAGGCATAAAACATAGGCACACAATAAATACAGATCTAGTTTCCTGCTGCCCCTCCCTCCCCCCATCTGTCTCTCTAGCAGTTGCTTGAACATAGCACCTAATACTATGGATGCTTTAATATACTCTAGTTCAAACAGGAATTAATTCAGGGAAGTCTTATGGCTTGTATTACACAGGTCAGAGTAGATGATCCCAGTGGTCCCTTCCGGCTTTATAAACGGTGAATCTATAAACCTTAGCATCTATGTACTGCACAGAATTAAAAAACCTGACAGCCCAAGATAAGAAAGTGTTTTGCTCCTTCCCTTCCTGTAGGCAGAGGGGCATGGATTTTGGTGCACTGGCTGGCTTTTTAAAACATTGTACTTGTTTGTTTAGTTATATTTTTAAGAGCATGGAAAGGCATTCTAGTAAAGGTACATTTTACACACCTGTCTGCGCGCTGTCAGGTTTGGGCTTGTTCTGGTCACTTCTGGCAGGGAGTTCTACTACTCGGGTCCAGTAGTGATACTTTGAAACTCAGCAATATCTTCCCTTTGGCTAGTAAAGTGCTGGAAAACTAATGCAATACCCACCCTACCCCTAAACAGTGCCAGCTGTTCTCCTCACCTCCGGCTTCAGAGACAAAATATTGTAATTACAGCCACAGGATTAGTAAGTGTCTTTGTGTCTGATAATGATCTATGGATTTCCTTCCCCTCCACCTACCTCCCACTTCACCCTCCTTTTCCTGAAGGAGAGTGGATGTATTTTTAATTTGTTAAAGATTTTAGCAGCATCGCTCTGTCTTAAATTATTTAGAGTATTATGGGCAGGATTAAATTCATTGTGGTTCAGTACCCAGGCTTTTAGCAAAATGTAGAGTGAACCACTGTATTTACTATCACTAGGAGATTTTGCATTCAATTCACGCCGGCTTCTTAGAGGATCATACCAATTACTGTGTGTTGATGCAATCGTAACATTGTGTATTTCCATAGTCGTTCATCCCAATGGATCCCAAAGCACTTTGAAAATGACAGATACAGAACCACTGAAACACCGCCTGTTCTTGGAGGGCAGCAATCAGCCAGCATGAGAGTGGTAGGGAAAAAATGAACTTTGACAAACCTATGTACTTGGGAAAAGTGCCATGTTCTCCTGGGTAGCCCTGAAAAGCAGCCAGGACCCTCATGAAAGAGACATACTGCATGGGACCCCATTTCTCTGCCTTGGAAGAATGATTTTACCCAGTCATTCCGTCCAGGAATGTTTCAAAGCTGAGGCGTAATCCTGTACTCAGTGATGCCAATGGGAGTATTGCCACTGATTTCAAATTGGCACAGAAACTAGCCTGGATGCTTGGCCCATTGAGCAATCTCCCCTTGAATTATAGACTCTACCCTTTTATTTTTTTAAAAAAAGTTATAAAATCCCTGGCATTTCCTACTAATATGAGTACTTTGATCAGACAGAACAATGGCAATTTTAAAATCAAGATTGGATGTTTTTCTAAAAAAAATCTGTTCTAGTTCAACCACGAATTTTCCCTGGCTTCTGTTATACAGGAGGTCAGACTAGATGGTCACTGTGGCCCCTTCTGGCTTTGAATCTATGAATGTGTTACTTCCAATTGATTGAAGACGATAGTCTGTAGGCCTAAACTAAATTTGTGGGGACCTGAGCAGAAGAATGCTCGTGGGAACCCCAACGTAGTCATGGTATGCGAACTTGAACAGAATAGATAGCATAGAATGTTTCACCTAGTGCAGACACAGTAAGTTTTGAAGACCATTTACTGCTTTATCTTGACTTCTTGTCTTGGTCTCACAATATCAGAATACCCTCTCTCCATCCCCATAATCCTCAAAAGGAAAATTGTTACTCACTGCCCCTTTATGTAGGTGACTACATTGTATGAGAAATTTTGCATCCTCAACTTTTTCAGTTAGATGAAATCTTTGAGACTGGAAATTGGCAAGAATCATCGCATTCGGCTGATTCCTATAGATGTACATTCAGTATACATGTTGGTCTAGTTTCCACAAATGTTCAGTAGCAGTGAAATTCAATCCAGTGTATGGCCTTGTAAGATTTCTACCCACTGTTGAAATACTGGCTCTACTGATGTTAATAGGTTTAGAATCTCACCTAGGTGCAGAGAGTGATGCTAAGCATTTTAGAGTTTTGGTCTATATCTGATCCAGACCCTATCTGTCTAATATAGATTTTCATAGAGCCGCCATCATTGTTGTAGTTAAGTGTTAAACTCTAAACAATCCCTACTTATTTTTTCTTCTTGTGATTAATACAAGGCTCACTAATAGGATAGGTCACTAATATGGCATGATGATCTTACTGTAATCATCCTATATGATTTGCCCTTTCACTCTTGTTAGCTGATTTGTGCTGCCGCGGATTGGTGGAAAGCTAATTCTCAACAGGCTGTAGAAGCTGGCTCGGTAAATGCCAGACAGGATTTTTTTTTTTTTTTTTTAAATGGAGCACATCTGAAAACCATAACCATAAGATCCCATCTGCTGACAGCAGAGGGAAGCATACCCCAGCTAATGAGCATGTGTACCCACATTGTGGGAGAAAGCTGTATCCGATTATTATTAACCCGTGTTCGGGTTCTGCCTGATCATGGTTAATGTCCATGTTTTATTAATCCCAACAAGTTCCTGTTGGCAGCATTTATCAGCAGGCAAAAGCCAAAAAGCGGGAGACAAGCATTTTCTCAATTTCGCTGCACTGCGGTAGAGAAATTGGTCCCAGTTGTCTCTCTCCAGATCAGGTAGCGGGCAGAAATTAAGACAGGATTACTTCATTTCCATCCTGTCTCAACAAATCAAGCCTTTAATGGGGAGAATTTATCCTTAACACGGAATCATTTGAGAGGGGCCAGATTCTAAACAAGACCTGGTATTGCCACTGTGTCGGTAGGTGAATGGGCAACTTGTGTGCTCTGGCACTTAGAGATGGGAGGGGCAGGCTTTGGGTACATTATCTTAGAGCCCTCATCAAAAGGGCTATGAAATGAAAGGAGGCTTTTCTGGGGAGAGGTAGGGGGAAATAATACCTTGCTCTGATCAGAGGGTGTTACACTGTCTTATATCTGTTGTGAGCTGCTTTAAGATAGAAACCCATCCTGGTACAGAGCAAGGAAGGGACATGCCAGAGGTCAACCAGCAGTTCAGTGGCAGGGTAGGGAACAGAACGCAGATCTCCTGGCTCCCCATTCAGTGCGTGATCCACTGGCCTTTCTGAAAAGAGCGAAGAGTGGGAGGGAACGGAGCAGGAGGAATGAGAGAGAGAGATGGGATGGGGCGGGGAAAGCGAGGAGAGAGATTGAGGCTGGCATTTAGAAAACTGTTCCAGTGGCTGTGAAAATTGTGCACATCCAGGTACCTGGGATGCCTGTGGCTGCTACACAGGTGAACAAGCTTCACTGCCTCTCAGGATAGATTTCAGCCACTTTAAGTTTTCCCCCTTCCTACGTGCTCAAATCCCTAGCCCTGCCCATATCGAACAGTTGGCTTGTTAGAGCACTTTTGGGCCAGCTGGGAGTTTGGAAAAGTCTGAAGCAACTTGTACATCAGGGTGGTTTAAATGGGAAAGATACTCCCCTGCCTCCAAGGGCAGAATTTGGCCTGTTACGTCGACAAGCCAGGGTAGCTGGACTTGCTGCAGGCAGCTCAGTGAGAGCCACGGGATCCTCCTTCTCTTTGCTGTTGAATGACCCTGAAGCTACTCCGTGGTTGCTACTGTAGCCCTGAGCTGCACAAGTCCCAGGGTCTCCTTTGACCCCAATGTGGATGGAGAGGGAAAGACCGGAGGATGCAGGTAGCCACTGGATCTCCCAGATTGACCTGCTGCTTTGTGGGGATACAGAGGGACTACAGGGGGGGATGTGGACTCCCCAAATCCCACCCCCATGTATGGTGGATGTGCACTAGGTGTGTTGTACTTGGAGCCCTATATGACAAGGGAGGAGAGGGGCAGGATTCTCCCCATAGAAGGAATTTAGGAAACATTGTGCTGGTCCTCTTGAGCCAGCCAGTACTTCGGTGAGTTTTCCATGGCTGCGCTACCAAGGAAGGAGCGACAATAGAGTCTCACCCCAGAATGCTGTACGGCCCAAATGCTGAGCTATTGAGCTCGAGGGCTCCCCAGCAGAGTTTCCCCCCCCCCCCGTGTGTCACAATTAGAGAAGCACCTTTCATAAATAACTTTGAGTCGAATTGATCTAATGTCAAGATGGGTGGATTTGTGAGGAGTAACTCTGTTTGTCATCATCCTAATATCCTCTTTGCCTGGAATTTTCTGCAACACACATTCACTCCCCTCAGCAATAATTAAATCCTTTTAGTTTGCAACCCCACTACCCCATCCCACCTCCCCTAAGGATGTTTAATTTTGTTGACTGCTTGTTCTTTTTAAAAAAAAAAAATCCCCTGAAATTGTTAATGCATTCTCTGCTGTTCGATGCTCATTTTCCGATTCCGTCTCACTCACAAACCCTGATGGATTTTGACATGGTCAAATAAAACTCAGATTAATTGGATTACACACTTCACTTGGGTACCTTTCCCTTTGAACATGAAAGCATTCTCAGACGTTTTGTTTCTGGGCCGCAAAGAAGGAAAGATGGCTACGGTCAAAAACGATGGTCAAGGAATTACCTGTTTGAGTTCAGCCCTTGTGTGTTTGACTCTGCCCCAGAAGAGACCTAGGTTCAGTGTTCAAGGCATGCTGGTTCCCTTCCTGGACTCCAGTGCAGAGATGCCCTGTCCCTGAGGGCATCTGGAATTATGGCTGTTCCATAGCATATGTCATGCTGGATCAGATCACTGATCTATCATCACTACTGTACCCCTATCCGTGACCAACATCCATTGCTTCACCAAAGGTGAAAATCCTCCAAAATGTCTATCCTGGACTCATCTCCTTTTTTGGGGCCAAATTCTGCTCTCATTTATGCCAGTGCAGAGTACGCAACACCACCATTGATCTTTGATGTAAATATAGAGCAACCCCTCTATGTACCACTGTAGAATTTGCCCCTCTATGCCTGGAAAGAATCCCATCTAGTGGTAGCCCAGTGAGCTAAAAATCTGGGGGGAATGGACGTGTGGAGGTTTGAGATCACAGGCATGAGGAAATGGAAGTTTCTAGATTGTGGGGGGCAGTAGCTGGGGAAAATCTGGCTTTTCAGAAGGCCTTCTGTCATGGGTAACTGTGCTATGCAGTATCCATTGACCAGACCCTGGTAGAGCCCCATGGTTGGGGAGTCTGCAGCAAAGATGCGGTTATTTTTAAGTGATAGATTATATATACATTGTTTCTTCAAGCAGTAGTTAGCACTTCCATCCCATTTCTCCCAAAAGGAACTGCTGAAGTAGCATGGCTTGTATTATTGTAGTGTTTAATTGAAGGGTTTTGTTACATTTTTCTTTTCAAGTTTTGAAGATGCCTGTGAGTCTCTTCTCACCTGGTCCTTCACTGCCCCTGCTTATGAATCCAAAGGAAAGGCAGAAGACTAGAGAAATGTTGATTACAGTTATGGCCAACAGCAACAAAGCCAGCAGAGGAATCAATTCTTGAGGCTATGGAATTGGTTAGGATCAAGTGGCTAGAGGAGTGGCCTGTGAATCTTCACTTAAGTCAGGATACCTGGATTCTATTCCTACCTATGTGGCATTGGGCAAGTTACTTAACTTCTGTGTCTTAGTCTCTCCATCTGTAAAATTACATACATCTCTACCCCGATATAACACGAATTCGGATATAACAGGGAAGAGCGGTGCGCGGGGGGGGGGGGGGGGGGGGGGGCTGCACGCCCTGGCGGATCAAAGCAAGTTCGATATAACGCGGTTTCACCTATAATGTGGTAAGTTTTTTTGGCTCCCAAGGACAGCGTTATATCGGGGTAGAGGTGTATTGTCTACAGCGCTTTTGTATCTTCAGATGAAAGGTGCTACCCTAATAGACTGCAAAATATTTGTATAATAGCATATGGGTCCACAGCTAGTGTGTTGGGCTGATATGCTGGACCCAGGCACTTAACCTGGTGGCTGCATATTGGCTACCACATCGGTTTGGTGGCAGTGCTTCGGGCTGCTATAATGGTGCAGTAGCTCAGCACCATTGACACCAGTGCGTTGGGCAGCCACATGGAGACTCAGAGTTCATACATGACTTCTTGGATCATTGGAAACCAGATGTCTTAGAGGTGACAAAAAAACCCTATTGCTATACAATGCAGTAGCACCCTTTTACCACTCAGCTCCCTGAAGGGGGCGCTATCCAGTCTGCTTTGGTGACTGGCAGCAGGATTCAGTAATTAAGCAAGAACACCGATTTGGAACGAGGGGAAAATTCTTTGGGGCAATTGGAAGAAACAGGGTGGAGGGATGAACAAGAGGCGTGTCTGCGACTGAGAGACTAAATGCAAACGCACTTGCTCCGGAGCCAGTCTGTGCACATGACGGCCTAATGTATAGAGCCTGAAGAATGAGAGGATTGCTTTGGAGCCTCTGGTAGAAAAATCACAGCTTTTTATTTTTCAATGAGCTTCTGGATGAGTTCCCCTCAGAACGGTCAGGGAAATTGTTCTAATGGTCAGAATTCCACCTAATTAAACACTCACTCTCTCCTTGGCCAACAGCTAGCTCGAGCTTTCAAACAGCCCAGGGTGAAATCCTGACTGACTGGACGCTGCAGTTGATAATTTTCTCAATCATTAATTCCTCTGCTCTTTACCACAGATGGAGAATCCCAGCTGGCTTCCACCATCATCGACACGATCCTGGCTGGCTTGCCAGGCCCACGCGGCGCACCAGGGCCTGTTGGGCCACCAGGTAACAGACTCAATCGAACTGGGCAGCTTTAATGAGGAGAAACCAAACCGAAGATTCTTCTCAGGGTGTGTGTGAGAGAGAAAGATCTAGTGGCATAGTTTACGCCGACGTAGGGTGACCAGATGTCCTGATTTTATAGGGACAGTCCCGATTTTGGGGTCTTTTTCTTATATAGGCTCCTATTACCCCCGTCCCGACTTTGCACATTTGCTGTCTGGTCACCCTACGCCGACGGGAAGCCTGCCAGGAAAAGCAAGTGGGCCTGGCTGCAAAAGTTTGGGCTCACAGGCCTTGGACTAGTAGAGGCAAAGCTTTGTTAAAGGGGTATGCGGTCTTCAGAGCGATGGAAAAGCCAGTCTGTAACTGTTTGCCTCAGCAGGAGCAGAGTCGACATCAGCCGCGAAGAGGCATTTTATATAGTCATGTCAACCCCTCCATTTTAGCTATGGCTAAATACAACCCCCTTCCTGCAGTCATGTATCCTCAGAATACTGTGGGTCCGGTGCCACGTGAGGCCCAGCTATCTCTTCACTCAGTATTGCACTCATTCTCTTTCAGAAACCCCAGGTGCAGTACCTCACTTTGTGGATCCTGATCTAAGATTTCTCTTAGGACCAAGGAAGAATAGTCATTTAAAAGGAGACTGAAATTTTGCTGCATTTCCTACTACTTACATTATTTAAATGTTGTATATAGCTCTAAAGTAATTCCAGTACGGAAGGATGCTTTACATCAGAATGTGCATCTATCTTCTGTCTGATATCCGTGCTTACGCCATGTCCTGATGATCAAGCAAGATTTTTGTAGAGAGAGTGAGAGACGCTCATCAGGAGTAATGAAAGGAAATGAGTGTGATTGAAATTGAGGTTCCTTCTTTCTAAATGTCTCTAAAACTGTCTCAGATTATGATTTTATCGCCAGGACCCCCAGGCACTTCAGGACCCAAAGGACCCCCCGGACCTATTGGAGTTCCTGGATCACAAGTAAGTAATTTTATCCCAGGCCTTGGCAGGGGCGGAGGTGGGGATGGGGGAAGGAGAGGAGTGGAGCATGGAGTTACATGCAAAGCGACTTATTTCTGTAGAAAGGAGATGAAATGTTTAATTAGTAGAGCTGAGTGGAAATCGGAATTTGCATCCAGCAAGAAATGCCAATATTTCAATACTTTGTTTTTATCTCAAATCAGGACAAAAAGCTGAAAGAGTGAAATTTTTCTCAGAACAAAATGTTCTGAAAAATTTTGATTTGGAAATGGCAAAATGCTTCATGTTTGGTGTTCTTAATCTAAACAAAACATTTTGATATCGCCAGGCAAAATGTTTTGGGTCAGTTCAATAAACTAAAACTTGAGTCAGAACAATATTAAACTGCATCTCCCTATAGGGTTGCATTGCCTCTTGGGAGTTTTAGTTGGGTGCCTGATGCCCCCTCTCTCCTGGGCTCCCTGGGCCAGGCTGGCTGGTTGGATTAAATCTCCCATGATGCACCATGCGGTTCAGTCAGAGGGGAGACAGTGTTGTATCATGGGATACGTAGTCTGGCTAGGGATGCTAGCCCATATGAGAAAATGGGCCCAGGAGATATCTGAACTATTGCTCCCAGGAGGCAATGCAGCATCACAGGGAAATGCAGTTCAACAAACCAAAATATTTTTATGTGTATTGATCCAAGCTGCGACAAAATATTTCATTGCATTTTTCAGAATGGAAAAATCAAAAAGCTTTGGGAAAAATCAGAATTTCCCCCAAACTGCATTTTCAGTCAAAAAACATTTGGATGGAAACATTCCTGACCAGCCCTATTAATTATATGTGGATAAAAAAAAGATTCGTGTAATTGGGTAGATCATACATTTTTGACAAGGTCCCTCATAAAAGGTTACTATGGAAAACTACAGAAAGAGGGGCTAAATCTGTTCACAGATTGAAAATTGGGTAAAGAAAAAAATTAAGTGATGATGAATAGTTGACTAGTCAAAGTGGTAATTAGTTAGGAACCCCCGGAGACCTATTTTTGGAACAGCGTTACAGAATGTGTAGTCCACCTGCCAATCCAAACTCTTTCAAGGACATAAAACATGGATAAAATGATGATAGAGAATTAGGAAAATTGGGGGATATATATGGGTAAGTGATTTATGTTACGGGACGTAACCTCAGTTCGGATAAGGAGGATGTAGGGATTGCAGGGAATTGGAGAAATGGGATTTTACTGTGTATTTATTAATCACTTGGAAGAAGAAATGGACAGCAAGTTGGTGAACTTTGCCAATGATGCAGAATTGTTTCAATTATCAAATGCTATGGAGAACTGTGGGAAATTTCAGATGAATATAAACACACTGGGAGATTTGGCCGCAAAATGACGGATGCAATTCCACATGATTAAATGTAAAGTAATGCATAAGGGCAAAACAAACAGAAGCTTCTCTTAAACTCTGGCCTGTGAACTTGCAGGATGTACACGGGGGGAAAAAAGCCTTAGTCGTGGTAGGTAGCTTGTAAAGATGGACTGAAACTTGTTTAATTCTATTGTTTTCAAGGGAGCTATGCTGATTTCCCTCCGCTGACGGTCTGCCCCGTCTTTACTAACTACAGAAGTGCAGCCTGTACTTTTCTTTAAAAAGTGCTAATGTAATGTTACAAATTTCACTGCACAGAGTCAAACATGCAAAAGTTAAGGATGCCCATCTGCTCTTATGAAATTATGCGTCTTATAATTACATGATCTCATGATTTCTTGCTTCCCCCTCTCTCCTCATGTGGAGCTTCTGAGCTGTACACAAGAGTCTTCCAACTCCTATGGAGCAATTTAGCTGCACACGAGTGAGACCCCTTCCTACAGCAGAGCTTAGATCAAGGTTTCAGTGCAGAGCTCCAGCAACAGAGAAGCTTGGCTACATGGAAAAATTAACACATTCGCACAAAACTTTAACAAACGTTGTCCGAGGCACCCTGCCCCTTGCCCATCTTTCCATATGCCTCAGATGCTGCACTCCTGCCCCCTTTTTTTAAGCTCCCACGTCTTTCTCCCACAAGGTCTGCAAACTTTGTAAGGAAATGGGAGAACTGGATTGTGGATAGGTATCCTAGATTTATATCGTTTCATATAGATCAAAAGACGAGACTAGTTAGTTTCCTATTAAGTACCAAATGAGTATTTCACCCTGTTTAATTATGAACGTCCTTAGCCAGATGACTAATGCGGGCCTAGTCATGCACTATGGCTAAGATTTTCATAAGTGATGGGAGTGTGCCTCACTTTTGGGGTGCAATTTGAGACTCCCCAAGAAGGCTTGGTTTTCAGAAAGTGCTGAAACTTCCAACCGCTGATAACTGGGTCCCTCCCTTTGAGGCCTCTCAATTTGTGCCTCCAAAATCAATCATCGCTTCTGACAGTCGTGGGGTATCTGTTTAGCTCGGATAGCTTCAAACTACCATCTTCCTTTAGATTCTGGAGGCTACGGTAAAGCCGTTTGCTGAAGCTTTGCAGCACCCCATAAAAGTTTGGCAAAGGCCATCCCTAAGGTATGAAAGCATCCCAGCAGGATGGCCGGAGTGAGCATACAGACCTAACATTAATTGGATTGTACATTTGAAACCATTTTGATGAGATTCACTCACCCAAATAAACAATTTTCAAATTAAGCCCAATGTGTGCTAATAATTTTGCTCCCTGGGTTGAATAAATCTATAAAACAGTCACCAATGGAGAAGAATGGCTTTGTCTCAAGACTTCTGGTAATTAAACTCCTTTGCAGATATTGACCTTAACCCTTTAAACACCAAACAAAGCCATGATAGTGTTGCAAACAAGATAGGAAGAGAAGACTGTTTGTTGATACTCTGCATTCTATCCTCCAACTCTCCGTAACTATTTGTGAGGTGTTAGTACCCACTCTAATGACTACTGCGAGGGACTGCTGCAAACAAGGTCTAAAGACATCTTGGTCTGTTATTCCTTTGCATAGTTAAGGATATGCAGGATAACATAAGAACCCAGCCCTGTGAAAGTATCTCACTCCTAACCTGCCAGGACTGTTTCTAGGATCTTTAAGCCCCCGTTCCCATTCAGTCCTTGGCCTTCTGCAGAGGCTGATAACAAGGGACCAAGTAATGGCTGCAATATGCACCACTGTCCATCCTGAACTGGACTGAGTCCACTGTCTATTTCAAAGAACCCATGCCGAACAGCTATCAGCACTAAGTTTACTACCAACCTGGGCTAGACATGAACCAGTAACCTAGAGGTTAATCCTATTTTTCAATATCCCATTACCAGTGCCCTCGAGACAACTGCCCCCCAGTCTGTGCAGCCCTGAATACCTTGTCATCAGCTTTTAGCAACAAATGCCAGTTATTATAGTTCAATCTGTTTATAAACGAAAAACGTAGGCACTTCTAAAAGAGCCTAGCATGAGGGGTCCTGGCCCATGACTCGGGCTCGTAGATGTTATGTTAATACAACTAATAAAGAATAATAATATATGTGCATATGCACTAGGATCCAGCTGAGAGGGCTGTAAGTGCACAAAACTGCCGAAGGCCCTTTATGATGCATCTTTTCCTTGATTCCCTGTAAGACTGCATGGACTTCATAAATCATCCCCTGCAGGCCTTGTTATTCAGATGCACCATTTCCTTGAAAGGGCCACGTGACAGGCTACTCCCCATGTTCAACTGTCCTGAATGTGCAAAATGTAATTGTAGAGCTCCCCAGACCATTGGAAGGTGGGTGTGTGGTCCATGATGGCTGACGGTCCCTGTCTTGAATCTTGTGAAGTCATTTACACCTGTGCAAAGAGTGTGCAAAATGCTATCATCGGATGCTTCGCCACATACTTCCTGTGTGACCTTCGGCAAGTCACTTATCTTCTCTGTGCCTCAGTTTCCCATCTGTACAATAGGGATAATAGCACTGCCCTGCCTCACAGGGTTGTTATGCGGATAAGTGCATTAAAGATGCTATGATGATCAGGGCCACATAAGATAGAAAGACAAAGTCACATTTTACACTCACGTCACCCGGGGTAAGTCACTACGCAGGTTCTCAGGCCGCAGAGAATCTAGCCCAGCATCTTTAACAATAACAGCAAGATGTTAATTGGAGACTTCGTTTACTGTTCCATTAAACATACATAATGGAAACTAATGTCCTCTTATCCTGCATCTGCCCTCTAGGGTGTACCGGGCTCTCCAGGACAGCCTGGACCGAAAGGTTCCAAAGGAGATCGAGGAGAAAGAGTAAGTTTAAAACTTTTTATCACATGTAAAGATTCACAACCAATTCTGGGCCAGCTCCTCAGATGGTGGAAATCAACATAGGTCCACTGAAGTCAGTGGACCATCTCTGACTAGGTGAATGTAAGTTCAGAATATTATGCAAGAATCAGTAAGGGAGACCATTGCACAGGCAGAGGGGACATGTTATTTTCACAGGGTATCAGTTACCTCTGAAAGTTTCAGAGTAGTGAACACTTGATCCATAATGTCTATTGGGAACAGATTTTACTATAAACACTTTAGTACCTAGCATTTTAGATGGTTTAGCTCAGTTTATCATGTTGCGACTGGAAAAGAAGGGCAAAGCATGTTAGAGAGAATAAGAACTATTCTGAAACGGAGCCATTTTTCAGGGTCAAATGATGTTCTTAAAATGTTTGCTTTTACTTCACATTTTGTCGTGTTCTCGCTATCCTTGCTCATTTTGTCAAGGACATAGAAGTGTTAATGCCCAAAATACAGCAAGAGGAGTTTGCTGAGTGTTGTTTCCAAGCTGGCCAAGATTAGGAAATACCCAAAAAAATAAAACCCCAAAACCACATGTGAGAGCCTCTTCTCACCAGGTTACCAGCCCAGTGTCCAGGCAGACTAAATAGGTTCAAAGCAGTATTTAAACTTTTGGATGCTTCTGCTATACCAGTCCTCCAAAACTCTTCAGGACTGCCCGTCACTTACTGTGCCAGACTATGGCCTGTGGACCATTGGTGGCTTGCGGAGACCCTTCTAGGAGGGGCTGAGAATGAAATCTTTTAAGAACTTAGCACTGGGGGAACTGGATTGATGAGAGAGAATCCTTGTGAGGAGATTTTGGCCACAAAGTGGAGCTACAGAATGAAAAAGTTACCATTAATGGTGTTTGCAGCATGTTCTGGAAAGGAAAGAAAGCTGCATAAAAGTTTTAGTGCTAAGTTTCCAGTATGTGCCCATAGCAGGAGTCAGGTGGCTGCAGCCTTAATGTATTTCCTTTCTTTAAAGAGGCATTACCTGCATATAGATTTAGGTGGAGCTCATTACTGGCAAATCAGGTAAACAAATCATCTGCATTTGCCAATTTCTCTCCCATCTTCCCCCTTCTGTTTGCTTTTTTCAGTCTGAAGGGCAGAACAATGTTTGTGAGGGCTTAGAAAGGCAAATGCCAAATGGAGTTTGATTAGTTTCAGATGAGCTTGGAGACTCTCCAAGCCCATGAGCATAACTAGTGACAGGCTTAACCTGCATCACTCCAGATTTTACATTAGGGCAACAACAACAATTCAAACTAGATTGTACAATACACACACTGAAAGCAAATAAGACACAGAGGTTGCTGATAAATGTAGTGGTCTTTCAGACCTAGCTACCAAATACTGCTTCTCTCTATTAGATGTTTATTTCAGTTTTCAGTGAAGGCCACTTTTATTTATGAAGAGAGCTCTGTATGTAACTAGACATTTGACTTTTTTATAGGTGGCTTAATTCCATAGTTTACGCCATTGCTAAATATTACAGATTAGAGCTGGCTGAAAAATTTTCAGTGGAACAGTTGTGTTGAAACTGAAATATTTGACATGAAAATGTCTATTTTGATGAAGTTTGATGGGAAAACATCTAAAAAATTCTTTGACTCATTTCATTTGGAAAAATATCAGATGTTTTGTTTCATTTCATTTTGACTATTTATATATAATAAATATAACAACATTTCAACATTAGAAAAAAACTGTTTTGTTTTGATAAATAGAAATTGTTTAATTTCCATTCTATAAGTTAGTTTGAAATTTCTACTTTTTGTTTTGTTTTGGAACAAAACCACAATTTTGGAATTTCCTGGGGAATGGGAACTCCATTTTCCAACTAGCTCTGTTATAGATGAATGGCAAAGCAGTAGTTAAAGCTTTCATTGGCAGAAGAAAATAACATTTCTATATAGGATGGTGTGTATGACATGGTATTGAGAAAGTAAATAGGAAAGTGTTTTTTACCCTTTCACACAGCACAAGAACTAGGGGTTACTTGATGAAATTAATAGGTAGCAGGTTTAAAACAAACAAAAGGAACTATTTCTTCACACAATGCACAGTCAACCTGTGCAACTTATTGCCATGGGATGTTGTGAAGGCCAGAAGTACAATTGGGTTCAAAAGAGAATTAGATGAGTTCATGGAGAATAGGGCTATCAATGGCTATTAGCCAAGATGGTCAGGGATGCAATCCCATGCTCTGGGTGACCCTAAACCTCCAACTGCTAGAAGCTGGGCCTGTATGACTGGGGCTGGATCACTCAAAATTACCCTGTTCTGTTCATTCCCTCTGAAGCATCTGGCACTGGCCAGTCAGAAGACAGGACACTGGGCTAGATGGACCATTGATTTGAACCAGTATGGCCGTTCTTATGTTCTTACCTATTGTTCACCCATATAAATGTTCTTTCCAAGTCAATGAAAGATCAATCTAGACATTGTGCAGGCTTTTTAACACAGATAATATCAGCTGGCTTATGGTCATGAAATCCCTGGTCACCCACGCTGCTTTTATCATCAGTCTGTAGGGGGAAGTGCATGCTGCACCTTTGAATTAGTGTTGGCATCACATGGACAAAGTGCAGAGACTGTGTAAGCTGATGAAGGCCAGAGCAGAACAACCGGGAGGGGCCCATCTTACTATCAATATTTGAGAATAAACAAGATGTCTTGATTCATAGATTCCAAGGCCAGGAGGGGGGAACATTGTGATCATCTAGTCTGACCTCCTCTATAACACAGACCGTACAACTTCCCCAACATAATGACTAGAGCAGAACTGTTAGAAGAAACATCCAATCTCAATTTAAAAATTGTCAACGATGGAAAATCCACAATGACCCTTGGTAAATTGTTCCAACAATGTATCTCCTGCCACCTTAGTTCAGTGAATTGCTACGGCCTGATTCACCCAATGCAGGATCTAAGCAACTCATATCCTTTCAGTGGGGACAGTTGGGCCTTATTATATTTTCTCCTTCTCATCAGTATATAGTTCTGCCAGCAGTTGTCACCAAGTGTCGCACAGGTCTCTCTAATGCAGTGTTTTTGATATAGTATCTTGTTCCGAATTGGTTCTTCATATAAAACCAGTGAAGCAACAGTTGGAAAAAAATATATATATATGAAAAGGCAGCTCTAATTTTCTGGCAAATGCAAAATCCTACATCCAGCTGGACGGTTCATAGCAGGCCCCCCCCCCCCCAAAAAGGGGGATGTGGAAGGGGTGGCTATAGCAGGTCAGAAAATGGAAATTATATTCTGCACAATATTTAGAATGAAATGAAAGTTTTTTTTCAATTCGTTTGAAAATTTTGAGATTTTCTTGAGAAAATAATTTTGAGCCAATTTGAAATCAATCTAAAATTTAAAAAAATTCATGTTAGGGGTACTTTACTCTTTTCCAGAGGGGAAAAAGAGGGGAAAGGGAGGAAAAGGCAGTGGAGGAAAGGAAATACAAAAATGGCCATTTTGATTCCTTTTTATTTGAATCAAAACAAATATTTTTCAAATGGGTTTGAAACTGTTGTTTTGAATCGTTTCACCCAAAACCGCCCCAGAAAATTTAGAATATGAAAATTATGAAAAAAAAAATTGTCTAATTCAAAAAGCCATTTTTCATCAAAAAAATCTATGCAGAGAAATTTAGTAGTTCTAGTTGTGGATAAGAGGATGAGCATGTGTGCAGAAGACAACTAAAAGGGTATGTGATGGAGTTTTAAGGGAAAATCCTAATTAGATATTGCAGTCTTTTGTTCAATGGCGCAGTCTTAGCCTATCCATTATACTATATGGAAGAATGTTGTATTTGGGGGGAAAACTCTAGGGTCAAATTTCTCCCCGCTTTAACTTAGTTGACTTCTCTGAAGTTCAAGAGGATGCAAATCCATTTTACAAAGATCGGCCTGAGATCCTGAACCAAACTTCCCCAAATGTTGAGAGAATTCAGAACTAGTGCTTGAGAGAGATTACCCATTTTGCTGCTTGCTTGAATGCTGAAAGCAATAAAATTGAGGGAAAAGAACTTCCACGCTGTCTCATGAGTTTATTTGTTAAGCCATTTTAATTCCACTGGTAAAATTAAATTTTGTTATCAAATGGGGAAAAAATGACACTTGCTTTATTTCCAACAGGGGCAAGCAGGTCTGTCTGGAGAGAGGGGCAATAAGGGACTGCCTGTAAGTGAAGTGTGTGTGCGCGCGCATGCGTGACAGAGAGACAGACACACACACAGAAACGGGGTGCGGGTGTATGTCATGTCCAGCACCTTAAATACCACCTGGCTGGACTGTGGCTGGTACAAGTAGTTCTCTCTGGATGCTAATACAACATCCAGGTCAGGAGACAGTATCTCCGAGATCTGTGGAAATGAAACACTGCATTTTAGTGCTACGCTTTAGAGTCAAGTGGACAAAGCAGTAGAAAATACCCTGTACCTGCCTGGGGTTGAGGAGCTCGACTGCATGATCTCATAGGTCTTCTCTCTCTCTTTGCTGGATCTAGGAGTGGGGCTAGTAGTCTAGCAAAAAGAGCCTGTTAAGAGAAGTGTTCCACCAACCATAGCTCTTCCCTCAGGAGTGAAAAATTGGTAGCAAAAGATTTGTGCAGAAGATAGATCTGACGTACCACCTCTGCTTTACCCTGATGAGGCCAGATTTGCTCTAGCGTCTATACTTGTTATCTGTATTGTGGCAGTGCCTAATGGACCCAGTCATGAATCACAACTCCGGTGTGCTGGGTGCTGTACGAACCGTCTTTTTGTTCGGTCTCTGCTGCAAAGTGCTTCCAGGCTCAGCAGGAAGCCAGCCTGGTAACCTCCTGCTGGCACGAAGAGGGTTGAGAGGGGCTGTGGCAAGGTGGATGAAACCTTCCTATTGCCGGGGAGGGGGCACAGGTGGGCGGCAATGATCAGGAAGGGGTCATGGCCAGTGAAGCAGGAAGGACATGCTAGTTCAGCGCCGCCCCACAGGAGCTGCCTCCTACCAGGTCTCCTGTTGACAGGACTCTAAAGCTGCCTCCCATGTTGGAACTCTGGACAGACCATCTGCCCTGTGGCTAAGCCATCCCAATTCCACCAGCAAGCCTGAACTCTCCAAACCTCCTTTATCTGCAAGACTGGGCTGGAAATCTCTCGAACAGGCTTTCTCCCACTAGTTCTGGGACTACCAGCTTCTGGGCAGGCTGGGAATCCTCTGGAACAACATCTCTCAAGCTAAGACCACATTTACACGTGCAGTTCTGGTAAAAACAAAAAATATTAGGGAGAAGCGAGTGAATCCAACCAAGAGTTGGGTTCAGTTTGAGTTTGGGTGGAAATGTTGTGGGGCGGGGGAGGTTAAGAGGGCTCTTGTTTTGCCTGACATGGTTCTCTCCCATCTCTACTACTATCTTGCTCTGCTTTAAATATCTCTGCCAGGCCCAACGTTGCTGAGGAGCCAAGCTCTAATCCCAGCCACCTTACTCAGCAGTTCGTGGACCTTTCCATTGCTCTTTATTTAGCTTGTGGTTTACTCTGTGTATGCCATCTGCTGCTTGGGAAATGCAGACACTTCCTGATTAGATGAGTGGGCAGCAGGGGAATGTCAGACAAACTGTCGCAATAACTAGGGATCTTTCTTCAGTAGAAATGTAATGAGCATCTTGTAGAGAGGTGGAGGGTGATGTGGCTAATTAACGGGACTCTTGCGTAGTGGATATGGATTTTTCTGGAAAAATAAATGTAGAGGCAAAGTGTGCATGTTTGGAGGTGGTTCTAGTTTACACTAAAACCAGTAGGGAGTTAAGCGTTGCTTACGGGGAAAGCCTCACGATACGCACATGGTTTTGGTTGAGGTCTCTGGCCGCAGCCATCAGACAATGGTTCGTTGCAATGCAAACATCATATAGCTCAGGTCGCCCTGGGCCAAGTTCAGCTGTGGTGTAAATGGGTAGACACTCCCCCCGCCAGCAGGAGCTGAATTTGACCCTGTCTAAACGAACAGATGACACACATCGTGATTTCAATTTGCTTTCTGCTGATGGGGCTTTTTTGAGGGAGAGGATTTGAATGACTTTGGATAGCAAATCTCCTCGTTTACATGGAAATTTGTTTCTCTCATCTTAGGGTGAACCAGGCAAGAAGGGTGAAGAAGGAGATAAAGGGGCTGATGTAAGAAAACACTTTTACTGCTGCCTGGTTTGTCTCTTGGTAAAAAGAGTGTTTACTCCCCTTGGGACCATACCCTGTCCTTGTTCTGTGTGCAGGACTCCCGGTAATGTAAATGGAGGAGTGGGGGGGATTGCAAAGATAAAAGGGCAGCTGATGCAGGTGGCATTAATCTTGGCTTCAAATATCCATGGGCACTGGCATGTTCAAAATCTGGATCCAAATGTTTTTGGCTTGATCAGTGTCTGAGTGCCACACAAGTATTAATGGATATATATCCTTACCGCACCCCTGTGAGAGAGAGAGAGAGGGCAGTGCTATTATCCCTATTTTACAGATGGGGAACTGTGGCCCAGGGTAGATTAAGAGACTTGCCCAAGGTGACAAGGAAGGCAGTGACTGAGCTGGGAATCTTGCGTCATTGCCCAGTGCTTTATCAACTAGACCATCCTTCCTACCTAGCTGATCCCATATCTGTAGAATATGGCCCCTTGACAAGATCTGATTTTGTTTTTTCTGCTTGCCTGCTGATAATCAAGAGTAAGATACTTGAGACCCAGACAACACTCTTCCCCAAACCCACACTACTACCGAGATAATTTCACAAAATAGCAGCAAAAGGGTTTCTTGCGACATTTTTCAGTTTGGTGGTACAATGTCAGTGCAGGGAAAGCCAGGCCCACCCAAGTGATGCTCAGAACAAATGTCAGATCTGCTTAGCAAGGAATATTTTAATTGTAAAGTAAATAGTGCAGTGGACTGTGGAAACGGGCACAAGCCACAGAGTTTGACTCCAAGCCTCACAGTTTGACAATGTTCAGATTTGCACGGCGATTGGTTTGGCCCATTATGGAAATAAGAGCCAGCTGAAAATTTTGGATCTGGCTCCAAACCTCTCCAAAATTTTAGAGATGCCAGAATTTGGGTTTATAATTGAGGCTTTGTGCCTCATTGCTTTCCTTTGGATGTTTAGAGAGACATCTCCCTATTCTCCACAGATTTGCAACCCGGTTTTGTTTTATGAAATCATTAGCGGTTTCAGGGGCTACATTAGCGTTGTAGCCTTGGAGGATTGCATTATAAACTTAAATAAATAATGTACCTATGCTGTCGACACATACAGAGGTTTTGTTTTTTCCTTCTTGCAGGGAGAAGGAGTTCAGCAACTTCGAGAAGCCCTGAAGATTTTAGCCGAGAGGGTGTTAATTCTAGAGCATATGATAGGAATTCATGGTGAGTGTATCTCAGTCTGTGGCTTTTCTGGAGAAGTTAGTGTGGGAACAGAGTGACATCCATCTAACAGCTCTAGAATTGGCTAGTTCTAGACTCCTAGAATATGACTCTTCTTTTCACCTGCTCTCTCAATGAGCTGCTGGATGCGAGGGCTCACTGCTGGTTCAGCACAGTAGCTGATTTTAAAAGTAGGTGTCTAAAGTTAGGCTCCAAATCCATAATGAGGTGACTAAAGTGGCTGAGTTTTACACATTGAGCACCTACAGCTGTCAGCGTCACTGGAGTTACTCTGTCTTTACACTAGTGCAGGGGTAGGCAACCTATGGCACATGTGCCAAAGGCGGCACGCGAGCTGATTTTCAGTGGCACTCACACTGCCCGGGTCCTGGCCACCGGTCCAGGGGGCTCTGCATTTTAATTTAATTTTAAATGAAGCTTCTTAAACGTTTTAAAAAACTTATTTACTTTACATACAACAATAGTTTAGTTATATATTGTAGACTTATAGAAAGAGACCTTCTAAAAACGTTAAAATGTATGACTGGCACGTGAAACCTTAAATTAGAGTGAATAAATGAAGACTCGGCACACCACTTCTGAAAGGTTGCCGACCCCTGCACTAGTGCATAATACGCCCCACCGACACATTTGTATTATAATCAGTAGTACAGAGCCAGCTCAGCAGCAGATCAAGCCGTGTTGTGTTCTGCTTCATGGAACCGCTACAAAAATGTTCTCCTTGCAGAGTCTTTGGACCAGACCCTCAGCTGCTATCAATCGAAAGTCCCCTGTTCACTTACATCAGCTGAGGGTCTGGCCTTCTTAGTATTCATCATGTCTGACGGACCCTAGAACGGGCCAGGCCTGCAAATCCATAATCCAGGCAGCTCCCCTGATTAAAATTCAGAGAACACTGATTTTTGGAAACTCTTAGTGTCTCACGTGTTCCTACTATTTAAAATGAAGCACTCAATATTTTGAGTGATTCAGTTGGAGCCATTTCCCTCCCCACCAGTGCAGTAGGCCTTTCGTCAGAGGAAAGCGGGTTTTCTGATTCTCACACATCAGAGTTTTCTCTGCTGCTGATGCAACAAAGAGAAATCACTTGCTTTGGGGCAGGGGCTCCAATGCCTTGACAGATGCATAGCTTGCTCTGCATAATTGTTTCCTACAGAAATGGTCGGAGCAAGGGGGAAATGTTTTGGATCTGTTCACGATTATGTTCTCTCTGTGCCTTTCAGAGGTTGATTGGGGTTTTTGGCACCAACACAAATGCTTCTTGGCCAAGCACCATTTACTTCCTTCAGTGCTGCTGGCACTCTTGTCCTCGCCTCGTCCATAAAGCGAGGCACTGCTTTGCCCTCTTTCAAATCTCTCTGCAAGATCCACTCCCACGGGGCCGTCTTTGTGAAACTGGCAACAGATAACAGCCCATGGGGACTTCTGATAGTTATATGGCTTCTGTGAAATTTTCAACTGTACCAAAGTGACTTAGGCGCTTAAAGCATGTGTCTTATTGAAAGTCAATGAAACTCAGGCTGCTAAATCCCTGTCACTTTCTAAAATAGGACTTAAGCACTTTTGGAAATGTAACCCGTGAATGTATTTGTTTGCCTTGTCCTCCCCACCCCCCTTCCTCCTGACTTGTTACTCACATTTTTTGCCTCTCTTCTGGACAGGGACTGTTTTTCACCCTGTATTTGAATAGCACAGTCAGGGCCTTGTAATTAGAGCTTCTAGGTGCAACCATAATACAAAGAACTAAGAAAAGGAGGGAGGGGGAATGTAGGGTTCAAGCACCAGGGAGGCGAGCAAGAGATTATGCGGAAGGAAATCCACGGTATCGACGTTTGTGCTCTTCCTGGGGCCACACAAAGTCAAGAAGGTAGCCAGAAAATGTAGGGCTTGATATAGGCCTGTTATTCTCTCAACATAAGATTTAAAATTAATTTGATACACAACTGCCTTAAAGTTGAGGCCATTAAGATGTTCTAAGCCAATCCGACAGCAGGAATAGTTACTCGCCCTCCCAGCTGGTCAGCACCCTGGGGAATGTACTTGATCGTTCGGCGAGAGAAGGAATTTGCAAAATATTTACAGCACGGCTAGAACATGAGCACTTGACAACCTCAGCATTACCAGTGATCGCATCACCTCAGGACTTGCATAGGCCTGCACTAGCACAATCCAGCATGCTTTGTACGGCCACTTTCCTTTTGAAGAATATGCAGGCAGCCTAAAGCTCCAAGCACTTTGCATTGGGTGTGACTCTCCAGTGCCCTTTACCTTGTGCATCCATTTATACTAGCGTAAAGTACTATGAAAGGGGAATGGCAGCATTTTAACACCCGCTTGGCATTGGTGTGAATGACTTGACGGTGCAGGGCAATGGAAAACTGGGCCCAGCAAGTTGAGTGAATTGATTAACGTTTTGGCTTGGTCTGCTCCACACAGATTTTATAGCAGTGTAATAGTGTCGGTTAACGGGTGATTTACCAGTATAGGAATTGTATTTATACTTAATTTCCAAACTTTGCCTCAGTCTCTGTTTATGTACAATTTAAAAACGTAAATACATCACAAAATAGACCCTGCGTCAATTAAAGGCTGCCACCCCCCCCCACACACAACAACTCAATGGGAAAGGCCTCCACAAACAGGCTTCAGCGTACAGGCTGTCTGATCAGAGAGGGGAAAGCAAGGTCTAGAGTTGAGGGCCAGTCCTGCTCCCAGACATTTAAATTAATTAGCTCAAGCACCACCATTGATCTCAACTGCTGGGAGACAGTTAAGGTTAGCAGGACCTAGAGCAATGTAGGCTTTATAGATTAAGACCAATAACGTAAATTGCATCTAAAACTGGCCTGGAAGCCAGATCTGGTTATTGCACAGAATTTGCCATTCATGCTGCAAGACAAAGCTTTGTGTTACAGTGACAAAGGGATTTAATTCGTCTTAAATTTCCCAACTAATCTATTTTTATAAAGAATTGGTATTGTAGACCCTTCTTGTCCACTCTTTCAGGCCAAAGAAAAGGTTGAATCAGGACCGGCTCTAGGCACCAGCAAACCAAGCACGGCATTCCGGGAGGTTGTTGGTGTTTTTTTTGTTTGGGGGCGGCAAAAAAAACCTAGAGCCGGCCCTGGGTTGAATGCTGGAAGCTGCGTAGGGTCAAAACCAGAGTCTTTCATTACATTAGTACAACCACAGAGTGCAAAGAAAGATCTGTTTGCATGCAGCGGTTCCATTGTAGTGAAATTGATTTTTATTGAGCAGACAGAGCCCCCAAGCTGTGAGGCCACCCCACAATTTTAATCGGCTGGCGCTAAGGATCCGACCCTGCTCCCGCTGTGGGCACTGAGATTTTTGCCATGACTTCTGTGCAGGAGCCCCAAGCCGAAATGCCAATTGCATGCTATCATTGTCAGACAAAGCGCCAGAATCCACGTGGTTTTGGAAACCAAAACCACCACCCAAGCAACAAAGCAAAACATACCAACAAAAACCTTTCCCCACGCAACAGGATGGAAGCTTGAGATAATCAGAGCGGCTTAACCAGCCCTACAGAACAGAACAGCAGGACACAGGAAAAGCCCACTTTTGGCAATGCTTATTTCCAGCTAGCGCAGCACAAATCCCTCTGCACTGGGGTACCCGCTTGAATTGGAAATACTGCGTGATGTGAGCAGCCCAGCGCTGGAGGTCTGGCTAGGAAGGCTGGGCTCTTGGCATTGAAACAAACAAGTGTCCATTACTGAGTGCAAAAGGAAAAGAAACGGCGGCATTAACATTGAAGAGTCAGCATTATGGATTTGCATGTCTAAGCACTTGAAAAGGACGGTGGCCATAGACCACGTGTACAATTAGCTTTATGGGGCAGGATCATTGTAGAAAGGCTCCTTGCCATAAGAGGAAGCCTGGGCCGGTGTCTAAGGTGCTGGGAGACCAGACTGCTGGGATTTATTGCCAGTGGTCGCTAATTAGCTGTGTGACCTGGGGTAAGTCACATAGAATCATAGACTATCGGGGTTGGAAGGGACCTCAGGATGTCATCTAGGCCATCACCGCTCTGTGCCTTGGTTTCCCCATCTATAACGTGTGTAGTGATACTTGGTAACTCCTCAGGAGTGTTGAATCTTAATGTTTGCTCAATGAATGTTTAAATGACCTTTGGCACTTCTATAACTGCTGACAACTAAGGACCACAAGGCACTGCTGTTAGGATTAATTGTGTTTATTATGGAGCTGCCTATGGATCAGCTGAGAACAAACCCCATTGTGCTAGGCGCTGTACAAACAGAGTAGTAGGCAGTCCCTTCCCCAAAGAGCTTACAATCTACAAAGAAACAGGGGAAGGGGTATGCTACACAAGCGGCGTGAGCAAGGGGATAGTGGCAAAGGTCATGTTAGTTCCCTTTTTTTGTTTTGGGAAGTGAGGAGTTAGGTAGGAGCGCACCAGCTAAATGGAAAGAAAAGTGAAGGGAGAGGGGACATTGAAGGGAAGGACAAGGACTTTGTTTTCTCTTTAATAGGTACCACTCAGGCCTTCAGCACTGTACATTTGCTCCTTACCCTGCCCCGCCTATTAAATAAACTCTCCCTTGGCTTGATCTCCTTTCAGATTCTTTATCTTCCATGGAACCGGGCTCAGGGCAGGAAGTGATCCTAGGCTCCTCTCTACGAACGAGCATCAAGATCAAACGTGGTGGTCCTGAGCAGCGGCCCCAGCCCTATCAGATCCTCGCTTCGCTGCTGGAGGACACCGAAGCCAAAAGGAAAAGCAACTGAATGAAAGAGGAGCATTTGTGCATTCTAAAGCCCATTCACTGATTAAAGATACAGTATCCTAGTGCGTAACCACCGTGTGCAGAAGGAAGTGGGTAGGAAGCTGCTGGGTTAGCAGTAGGGTTTCCTTGCTTGGACACTGCTAAACCATTATTGCAGGGAATGTCTTAACTGTAGCTCAAAGATTCTTATGAAGAGCAATTCCTCTTTTCCCCCCTACTTCAGAATACACCAAATGGCAGGTATTCTTAAAAACTATCCCTGGAAATGGATACCCCCCAGCCCTCTTCAAGGGGCTTGATCCTCCCCCTCACAAATTATTTGTTTAAAAGACTGCATAGCTGGCTCAGACATCATTCAGTTCTACCCTAGCTAAGAGCAAAAGCCCTGAGCAACATTATACTATTATGTTTAAAAATAACCAGATGGCACCAAGTTTTTTGTTTTCACACTATAATTTCCACTTGAAGATACCCTTTTCAGAACTCCACTAAAACCATGGAAATGTTTCTTTTTAAAGAGTAGAGTGAAAAATTAAGAACTAATCACTTATTTGACAAATTTCATCTCTCTTTATGGCGTGTCTTTCAACAGATCATGATTTGTCTCAGATGTGCTGGCTATTCACAATCTTTGGCAAATTTCATTTACTCTTGGGCTTTCTGATTGAAATTTAAAATCAGGGAGTTGAGCTGTGTTGACTGGTTGTGTGAATGGTGTCATATAGACCTTCTGGTATTCCTTCTGTTCCCTGATAGTAAGCTGTTCGTGCAATCAGGTTTCTGGTATAAATAATTACAGAATGTAAAATTTGCTTTTCATGCATATTCAAGATCAACATTCTTTTTGCAAACATTCATAGCAAGCAAGACAAAATTGTATGAAAGTTTGCATAAAGTGAACACAAAATAGGTATAAACATAGCCAAGAAAAATTAATTTCTTATTAGGAATAAATATGCACTGAAAATGTTTTGCAGTATTTACCCGGCTTTAGATCATAAGCTGGAACTATTGATATAGCTTTCTTTCAATTGTGGGTATTTTTAAAAGTATCCACCATCTCCTACTGGTTTGAATCTGGAGGCGGTGTGTTGGCAAAACACAGTAGAAGGATTAGACTCTTGCCAGTGGCTTGTCTTGTGATCTTGCAGTGAAATGTTCAATCATTTTACTTTTTGCAATAGCTCTTATTGTTGGGGGAACAGAAATTTCACACCTGCTGTCCAATCAAATTGGACAAGTTAATGTTATTCATGTAGACAATTAATTTACTTTTTTTTAATAGCGGGATTGAATGACCAAAGCAACTGATAACAGGTTGCAGAATTTTTCACTGTTCAGTCACTGGTTCAAATCCTCTCCAAGGCACTAGTGAACAAATGTTGTTGTGTCTCTATTTGGTGGCTTAAGTAAATTCATAGCATCACTCGGGCTCGTTCCTAGTGCAAACTGTATCTACATCTAAAAGCCACCATTGCAATTTATTAGCCCCTTTGTTGGCAACCTCAACAGAGAGAGCTGAATGGCCCATAGAGACAGAAGTACCCTCTTACTGCTAAAGGTAGTCCTCCCAGGTCAGGATGGAGGCATGTGGAATGCTGAAAACTGGAATCTGCACTGCCAGTGGATGTAGTCTGTGCCTAGAATAAGGGGTTCGGGCTCTGGTGCTTTCAGTCTGGCTTAGCCGAACACTAATTTTAAAAAGTGTGAGATATTTATGTATGTACATGTGCACACACAATCTCTGTCTACAAAGATACCAATAACTATATCAAAACATCCATATCCGGCCTCTAGACAGTATTGCATCACCAGCCACAAATAGTTTAAAACCCACCCCAAGTGAATAGATTTATATCTTTAAACTACCACCATTTTACAAAGACTAGGCGAAGGGGGAGGCTGATAGCATATGTTCCTAACAAACAAAAGCAACATCTTGAGCTGATAATGGGGTCCTCTTAGCGAAATCTCCCCATGCGGTACAATATAAACAGCCACTGAAGGGCCAAAAGCTGCAGTAAATTTATTTCCTTAACGTACTTTTGAATTCTGGCACAGACTAGGAATTGGGGATAACAACTAAGGCTGCATTCCATAGTCAAGGGGTATAGTTCTGTCCGTGCTTGGATCCATTTAAGGTAGTCATTAGGCAAGCCAAATCAGCCCAAAATGTGGAGGACTGCTGGGGAGGCAAAGCAAAATACAATCAGGTGCTATTCCCCATAAGCCATGAGAGACTTCAAAGAACTTTAAAGTCAATGCAACGCTTTAGGAGATGCAACCATAAAGAGCAGCTGTTTCAGTCTCCTGTGCAGCTGTGTACAGTACATTCTGGGGGAGTTGTATCTTTGATATTGCTCCCTGTTTACCTGCATCATAACCCAGCCCGGAGAGAATAAAATGGGTTGTCAATATCAGTAAGGCATTGATCGAGAGCAATGGTCACATCCTGGTATGACTTCTAGGACAATAAAATAAGGCCTTCAGAAGAGATGTTAGTTGTAAGCCCCAGGCTACATCCAGTGACTGTGTGTATATAAACAATTCTGAATGAGATCCGTATCTTTTAGAAATAGTTGGCAGCCATCTCTCAGTCTAAATGCAAATACGAATGCAAAGAGCACAACTATACCAAGACATCTGGTAGACAAACAACAAAAGCCCTGTGAACATTTTCTTCCATTCACTGACGGAGGTGGAATGGAGTTGTATAAAGGGAATTTAGACCATGAAGTCTTGTTGAGGGACAGCTGTTTTATAACACAGCCATGCCATATTTGCACTAGTTTTGGTCTTTGACCTGTTTCCTTTTAAGAAAAACTTGACGACTACAACACGCTTTTATAAGTCACCCAGTGGTTAGAAATTTACAAGAGGTGCCTGGTCACTTCTGTTGATAGATAATCTGGGGTCCCATCCTGCACGTATTACCAGGCAGAATGCTAACTAACTACCCTCACGTCTAGTAGTAAGTGTTCTGGAAATTGGTTCCTGAGACATGATGGGAAATCACAGTTTGGTCAAAAGATTTAAGCTGGTCATGCTGGTTTGAGCTGCATTTCATCTGATCACTAGGAAAGAGTTTTCCCATAGCAGGACCCAGAGGCAAAGCCAAACAACCCTCCAACCTGATATTTAAAAGGGGAAATATCAATATTCTGTTTTGACAATCCCATGGCTGTCGGATGGAATTTGGGAAGGGGGAGAGATATTATGCAGTATGGGTTCAATTAGTAGTTCCTTGAAATTTTGGAGTCCCCCAAATGAGTTAAAGGGGACAGTTTTTGTTCCCACAATTTAGTATTTGGGAATTAAAAAACAATTGCATTAGCTTGATGAGTAATCCCTTTAGTTGATTCACATTTGACTAGCGTGCTGGGTTTTAATTAAATTATTCAGAACAACTTGGTGGTAAAATGAAAAAGTTAATTGAAATGGTTTGCAATTAATCCTAGCAGATTGACTGTCAGAAGGCAGGTTTAGGTTCAGATTGCAACATCATTTTAATTACCAACTTTCACAGATTTCTATGAAGACCTATGTAATTCTTTGCTCCCAACACTCCTTGTTTGCTAAGGGTATGTCTACACTACCCGCCGGATCGGCGGGCAGTGATCGATCCAGCGGGGGTCGATTTATCGCGTCCAGTCTAGATGCGATAAATCGACCCCCGAGCGCTCTCCCGTCGACTCCTGTACTCCACCGCTGCGAGAGGCGCAGGCAGAGTCAACGAGGGAGCGGCAGCAGTCGACTCACCGCAGTGAAGACATTGTGGTGAGTAGGTCTAAGTAAGTCGACTTTAGCTACGTTATTCACGTAGCTGAAGTTGCTTAACTTAGATCGATTCCTCTCCCCTCCCCACCCCCCCAGTGTAGACCAGGCCTTAGCTACATCTATCTATTAATGTGGTACTGTATCTTTAATCTGGGTAACGATAGGACCATATAGTGTGGACATTGTCACTGGACTAGGGTTTAATTCTTCACTAGTAAATCAATTAGACCACATTGTGGTGCAGTCTTAGTTTAAAAAAAAAAGTTATAAAGGTGAACATAACCTCATATGTTGACATTAATGATATTTGTGACTAAATAAACCACTCCAACCACATTTTCCATCTTAGGCGGGATACTAAGATTCATTTTAGCCTGGGCATATGCATTTTACCATCTCTGTGTAATATAGGGGGTGGACATATTTCAAATGCGTGCTCATTTAGAAGTATACTTTAATTGAAATGTTAGTGCTTTATCTTACATACATACTGTGCAATACCATAGTGTGTTCTTTTGCCTTTGTTAAGACTTCTTTGGGATCTTTAAAGTACTTCTCTAAACTCCAATACTTTTCAACTTGGATTGGTTCTGGTAGTAGAAAAACAATTTTCCTTGCCTTGAGCTAACCAAAAGCAATGGCTGCATATTGCACAGTATAATACGTTGTAGTTTATGCACCCCAACTTTCACTAGTGCTCTGGAATCCTCTTGAGAAATAGAGAATGCTTCACTCCAGAGTATCCAATATGCACTTTTTCTAAAGACTTGACAGCAATGCAGGAAAATAGGAATAAGCTACAGATAAGGGTCAGATCCTGCTTCCACTGATGTCCACAGGGCTCTTGCCATTGACTTTAACGGGAGCAAGAATAGGCCACACGTTCAGATCCAGATCTTCAGTTGGTGTAAATTGGGACAGGTCCAGTGATGTCAGTGGAACTATGACTACTTACACTAGATCTGGCTCACAAACGTTGGCACTGAACCGAAATCCCAGCTCCAATCTATAGAATAAACTTTGTTAAAGCAGAAACCCATCCACTACCCCATGGCTTCAGGAAGACAGACAAACTAATTCTAGAACAGGGGTCAGCAACCTTTCAGAAGTGGTGTGCCGAGTCTTCATTTATTCACTCCAATTTAAGGTTTCACGTGCCAGTAATACATTTTAACGTTTTTAGAAGGTCTCTTTCTATAAGTCTATAATATATAACTAAACTGTTGTTGTATGTAAAGTAAATAAGGTTTTTAAAATGTTTAAGAAGCTTCATTTAAAATTACATTAAAATGCAGAGCCCCCCGGACCAGTGGCCAGAACCCGGGTAGTGTGAGTGCCACTGAAAATCAACTCGTGTGCCGCCTTGGGCACGTGTGCCATAGGTTGCCTACCCCTGTTCTAGAATTACATGAAGGTAGGTTCTTGATTGACTAATTGGAAATCCTTTCTAGTCCACAATTATGACCTCTGTATTATTCAAGATTGCATTCTATTCTGCTCCAGCACTGGGGGGGGGGGAGAAAGGGGATTAAATTACTTATTCTGAAATCACGTGAATCAAAGGTGCTATAAATGTCCATGAAACACATTCCCAATTATAAGAAAATGTTAAACTTTTTTCACGTTATTTTACACAGTATTTTTTTTATTTATAGGCGTGTGTTGTGTGTGCGCAAGGGGTCCCAGCTTCCCTAATTGTAATAAGTTCTACAATCATTTGATTTTTATAGTGAAGTTAGATACAGTATCTTATGATTGTGTGTAATTTTTAATAGAACAATAACAAATCTCCTCTGACATGATGAACTCATTTCTGACAGGCTCCAACGTTTGTCATCAGACTTCACTAAAGGACACAAAAAAAAAAAAAAAAAAAACCCCAACCTGTTAGCTCCAGATCTTGCATGGTTACTTCTCTGTTTTCATATTGCTGTATTATTGTTCATGATATCTACTTCTCTTTATTTGCTATGGGGTTTGTTACTGTATATGGAATGTTTTGTATTCAGCATTTTTTTTTAAACCGAGCAGAGTGGGAACAATATTCAAGAACCCACAAATACCAAAGACCTTTCATGTAATGCACTGAGAAATAAACATACTGTAAGTGAACATGGCATGTTGTAGCCTGTATTTGGAGGTCTTTGGCTGATTCAGGCAGATTCTCTTCCCAAAGGCCTAAATCTCTCTTTCTTGCCACCTTCACTTTCTTTCACTGCCTTTAGTAGTATTGTACAAGGTTGTAAGAACCTCTGTCTCCTTGTAACAGGGACACGAATGAAGGACTCAGCCCAATTCTCAGTTTCTTGACTGAGATCAAGATGACAAATTTACAGATTCCACGTGTCACCTTTAGTGACAGTGTCACAGTGTGGTGTTCATGGAGGCCCTTGGTAACTAAAGGCAGGTTGGAGTGATTTCTTTGCCTCAGATGGAGTTAACCCCCCCCTCTGGATGATGCTAAATCATCCCAGTCAGATCCAACATCCCTGGGGCTTGTACAAATAATGTTGGAGAGCAAAATGTTCGTTCTCTGGAAGAGACCAGATTACGCCCACTATTGCAAAGAAAAAAAGTGTTCTCACTCCCCCCTCTCCATTTGCAGCTCTAACTGAACACGGCTATGCTCTATTGTGTACTTCTCCAGCCAAGTCATTCATACAGACAGCGCCCACTTCACACATGCGTAAACCTGACTGGCTCAAATCCCATATTGCACTATGCGCGCAAAGCAGCCCTAACCCCAGCACAGCCAGCGACCAGAGGCACCCTGGTGTAGCAGAATCCTCCCGTGGTGTACAAATGACACAGCTATTCCTACACCTCTTGCTCTCCCTGCTGCTGAAATAGAGGGTGTGGCTAAGGGAAGCCACACAAACCCCACCGCTTCCTGGCTGCGGTATCAGCCTGTTGGAGACCTTGTGTCTGAGTGACACTAGCACCCAGCTGACACCGGGGTTTGGAGAGTGTAAAACTCTCCATTGTCTCTCTCCTCTCTTGTTCTGCACTCTGTGGTCTTTGGCTAGAGCGAAGGTTCTGGGTCATTGATTTCAGTGGAGTTACTGCTCATTTATGCTGGTGGGAGTGGGGCTGGCAGTGTTTACATCTTGTTCTCCAGACAGGGCTGCCAATTTTGGTTGTCCGTATTCCTGGAGGATTCATCACATGACAATCTTTAATTCCTGGAGACTCCAGGACAATCCTGGAGGCTTGTCATCCCTCTCTCCAGACCATTCACCACATTCAAAACAGCAATTGGCGGGTTTCCTGGCCTGGCGCCGGCATGATTACATTGCAGCTATCGAGAGCCCGTCCTGCAGCTAGGGCTGAGCACATAATGTAAACAAAGGAAAATGTCAATGAACCCAAACTCAAGGCCTCTACCTCATCACATTCTTCCTTGCAACACTGATAAGGACACTATCAAGGCTGCCTGATGTAACAGCCCCCGCTCATGCAGCACTTGTGTGGCTGTCTCACTTACTGTAGTAGCTGGTGTCACCAGGGTATGTCTACACTGCAGTGTAACACTCACAGCTGGCCTGGGTCAGCTGACTTGGGCTTGTGGGACTACCAAATTGCAGTGTAGACATTTGAGCTTGATCTGGAGCCTGGACGGGTGTTTTAATGCAGTGTAGACATATCCTTAGACTATTAATCCTTGTGACAGGCCTGTGAGGGAGCACAGTGCTATTATCATAGAATATCAGGGTTGGAAGGGACCTCAGGAGGTCATCTAGTCCAACCTCCTGCTCCAAGCAGGACCAATTCCCAACTAAATCATCCCAGCCAGGGCTTCGTCAAGCCTCACCTTAAAAACCTCTAAGGAAGGAGATTCCACCACTTCCCTAGGTAACCCATTCCAGTGCTTCACCACCCTCCTAGTGAAAAAGTTTTTCCTAATATCCAACCTAAACCTCTCCCACTGCAACTTGAGACCATTACTCCTTGTTCTGTCATCTGCCACCACTGAGAACAGCTGAGCTCCATCCTTTTGTTACATGTTACAGATGGGGAAGAGAGAGACTAAGGGTGATATTCACAAGAGGGACTTAGGAGATTCTGAGCATTGCAATGCCTATCAGGTAGAGGGTCTCCTGCATCCTGGGTGAGTGCTCTAACTGCTGGGCTAAAAGTGAAAAAGAGGTCCACTGGCACCACCACCATCTCCATTTTGGGCTAGGCCTGATCCAGTAGGTGTTCTCTGAGCAGGCCAGATAGGCAAGGGAATGCTTAGTTTAAGGATCCCACTGGGGCTTCACCCATGTCCTGGGTGGCAGAAATTTAGGCACCATGGAGACTTTACCAGCAGAAATTTAGGCACCTACAGGGTTAGGTGGCAGCTGGGGGTGCGGGGGAAGCTGAGGATCTAAATTTTGGATTTAGGTGACTAATGTGGTAGTTACATGTTTAATTCCCTTTGTGGATCTAGTCCAGAGTGACTCAGAATCAGGCCCACAGGGCAGATCTGCCTCCAGTGGAAAAGCCTGTGAAAGTGTTTAGAATTTAAGACTTTTCTGCATGCAGAAAACCTGTCTCCTTCCAACACGAAGTGGGGAGACAGCACAGGAGCACATCTTGGGGTATCCCCGTGAGAGGGACAGACTGAGCCCTATGGCCCAGTGCTTGTCTGGACATAGTACTGCAGCATCTGAGGGGGTTCTGTGACTCTGCGCTGTGGTTCAGAGTTTCATCTGCACACAACTTTGAGGTTAATGTTCAGTCCAACTCTAGATAATGATTAAACCTTAGACTTGTTCTCTAAACGAATTTGCCAAGAGGGAGAGCCCAGTCAGCGTTTGAGAGGATCTTGGAAGCACCTCTCTACCGCAACCACTCCTCTCTCCAAGATGGGTGAAGCGCTGGTATACCTGGTGACAGGAGGATGTGGTTTCATTGGGGAGCACATTGTGGAGTTGCTGTGCAAGGAGGACTATGTCAGTGAAGTCCGGGTCTTTGACTCAGTGGCAGGCGAGGAAGTGAAGAAGTTTGCCACAGGTAAGGAAATATCACGTACTAGCAATAGCCTCTCTTCCTTTCAAGGAAGCAGTTGTTCCACTTATGCTGGAGATAGCTTGGTGGTGGGCATAGTATAAGATACCATACCACAGCGACAGGCATGTTGTAAGAACCTGAACAGAACAGACTACAAATAGTAACTTCCTGCTAAGAAAAGAATAGCACGGGACTGAAACTATACAGAGAGAGGACCTGTATTGACTTATCTACTAGATGTGCTGTCAGGGAGAGTCCTGGATCAAGGGTCAGTTATGATGATATGTAAGATGTGCACTCCCTGAGCCCAGCCATCAGCTGGAGGACACAATGTACTGGTTACATCTGCCCTAGTGGCCTGGTGACCAGCTGGAACGCACAACAGCGAGATAAATCCAGCCTGTCAAACAGCTCCATCCCAAACAAGGTTCTATCCCAAGTACAAAAAATTGACAGGACTACAGATGCGCGCTCAGTTTCTGGTACGCAGAACGAAATAATAGGAAGGAACCTTCTATCAGCGTCCTGAGCTTTGCCCGATTTACTAGAGATGACTTTTAGCGAACAGGTGTCTAATTAAACTAATCCACCCCGAGCATTGTTGCATAGCTGCCTTTTCTCTTTAACCAGCGTTTATTACCGTATGGCGCACTGGAAAAACAGCACCTTTTACTGGAGTCATAAACATCCATCCATCCATACAGAGCAATACGCCCAGCAACCAGTGCTCTGTATCAGTCTGTACTGGGCGTAACCCTGGGAGTTTCTGAGCTCCACTCGCTTTTTTGGGGGAGGGAAGAGAGTCGTCTTGTTGTTTCATCTAGACGCCGACAGAATGAATGCTCCGAACAAGAGGAGATTCCAGGGGGTACCCAAGGGAAGGATTCCCATGCATGGCTTACGGGTTCTGGAGTAGGAGTTTGTTAGTAGCACATGGGCATCTGCTGGCTGACATGGCTGCCGTGAAGCATGGTTACTGGGACTACAGTGCAAATCCCCATGGAAGTAGGAGTTGATGGCCTGTCTACACTTAATATTTAGGTCGACACAGCCGCGGTGCTCAGAGGTGGGAAAAATCATCTGCCAATCTAACTTCGGGTGTAGATGCAGGTAGGTCGATGGAAGAATGCTTCCATGGACCTAGCTACCATCATTCAGGGAAGTAGAGTTCCGACAGCAAAGGAAAGACCCCTTCTGGTGCTGTGCACTACGGGATTACAACAGCGTAGCTATGCATCGTAGCTGTGCTGCTGTAGTGGCTAGACTGTAGGCCTGGCCTAAGGCCGTTAGACAACAGGAATCCATGGAGTTGTATCTTGGTCTGAATTTGACTCCTTTTGTTTCAGACCAGATTTTCAGTTGTCACTAGTATGGTAACCAAAGTTGCTGACCGTGTCAGAGATCCCTTCCAGGCACTGAGTCCTGGTTCAGGGGATTCCTAAGCTGCGTGGCAGATCTGACCAAAACAGACCAGGAACAGCATTAGAAATAATTCTGGGCCACTGAGAAAAATAAATCCCAAGAGCCCAGGCTTTCTAGCACAGTTGATTCCTTGCCCCAGCCTTCTAGAATTGCCTTACGTGGGGCCTGATCCTGACAGGGGTGAGCACCTACAATTCCAGTTAAGTCACCGGAGTTGTGGGTGTTCTGGACCTCTCAGGAGTGGGGCATTAGGGTCACAATCAACTTAGTTCCCCTGCAGCACTTGCCAACGCAGACACACACACGCACGTACGTTTGCAGTGGCGAGAGTGAAAGAATATAGGGGAGCTCTGCAGGCTTTAAAGACCTCACTCCAGACTGTGCTAAATAGAGAGAGAAAAAAGGTCCCTCTATTGGTGCAACGTACGAGATCTGATCTCACTCCAGGGGGCCAGTGAGGTGGTAAGAGACTCTAGCCACCTGGGCATTTCTGTATCTCTCCTGCACTGTTTGATCCTCACACTCTCTGGCTGCTGCATTTGCAGAGACATTGGCTTTCCTGTCCCTTACTTGATTGCTGAAATATTCATGATGATTAAGTAGGTCACAGCTGAGTCAGTGGGACTTCGTAAAGCCTTGGAATTGGATCAAAACCATGGAGGACGGCAGTTCCTAAACTTTTCCATAGGGTGAGCCCTGTCTTAATAGAGGGGACATCTCAGGGTCTCCCAACCATGTAATCCACCTACCCTCCCAATCTCCTAACATCCTTGTGGCAAATACAGCCTGTAACCCACTGGCGAGTGGGTCTGGCAGGTCCCCTCTGCCCTAGACACACCCTCACCAGTGGGCTGCAATTGCTACCGTAACTGAGAAAAATGAGGGGAGGATTCAATGTTTTCGTAGCTTTCTTTAGTGCAAGTTAACGGCTTGAAACTAGTGGAGCGCCACCTTTCAGGGGGCCTGTAGCAAGTGCCATGGGGCGCACCAGCAATCCACAGACTACAGCTTGGGAACGGCGGATGTGGAAGACCCATGTCTTTCACAGGGTCTTCTCCAGGCTGAGTTTTACTGAAGGGACATTTATGGTGGTATAGGAGTACAGTGCATAGGAGTAGCCTGTAACTGCAAGCCCTGAACCTCTGCCCAGAGGCCAGGCCTAATCCAGCTAGGAGTAGAGGCACTCGCCCACCAACTGTAATGGCCAGAAAGCTGCTGTCTTGGCCACCATCCTGTGGAGGCTGCCATTCCGCACTCTTGGGAGACAGGACTGTTGTGTCCTCTAAGCCCCATATCCCCAAGCTAAGAAGACAGCACTGTTCCATGCCAAACCGACCCTTATCACCTTTCACTCACGTTAGAGAAAGTCCAGGAAATACAGTGAGCCAACCTCTAGCCAGGTATTCTGAACTACAGCGCAGGAGAATGGGCTAAATCCACCACAACACCCTGGTGAAGTAAGGAAAGAACTAGTAGTAGCTGCAGAAGTAGGCAGGTACAGTATAGCTGGGCCAGCGAGAAGGGAGAGCCCAGAAGCAAGCCCCGGCCTGGTGGAAAAAAATCCTTACAGAATGGAATAGGCAAGGAGAACTTCCCTCGGCCATTTTTAAACCAACCTATAGTTCTCTATTTTATTCTACGTGTTTTTAAGCAATTTGCATAGAACCCTGTTTAATTTCTACTGGACTCTCGTGGTTTCGTCCCTGCTAAATTCTATAGGGCTTCCTCTGTAGTGAAGTTCTGCTCCCGCATCCCCAGCAACCGGGCCAATTCTCTGCTCACTTGCATCTCTGTGGCCCTGTTGGCTTCAATGAATTAGTTCAGGTTTGTTCAGTACTATACTGCGTATGAGCGCTAGGCATTTATAATGACAGACCCTTGCCCCAATCCAGAGCGCGTAAGTCAGCATAGTTCCATTGGAGCGAAGGACGTACACCAGCTGAGGACCCAGGTCTCTGGGTGTAAAAGATACAGGGCCATATTCTGCCTTAATGCAACGGATTCAGTGGAGTGGCAGTGTAATACTGACAGACCCTGGTTGTCAGGGTTAAACCTGGGACCTCTAAAGCTAAATGAATGAGCCTCTACTGCATGAGCTAAAAGCCACATGGCCCTTGGCTAAGGCTGTAGAGCAGACGCATTAATCTCTCTAAGTGGTCTCGGTGCCAGTAGATGGGACAGAACACCACACCCAGGAGGTGTGTGGGTTACAGTAACAAATTGCACTGGGTTTGAATTTGTCCCATGCAGAACAGGGTTTTATGTGCAGGATTCTCCTTCTGCAGGAAGATGTTTTTATTTCTGCATCTGGAGTTAAACATTTTTTCCAGCTACCACTTGTGTGACAGTGATGAAAGGAGACATCCGAGACTACGCTCTGCTCCTCTCTGCCATGCGGGGAGTCCATGTGGTTATTCACACAGCTGCTATTGTGGACTACACAGATACTGTACCCTTTCGGGAAATGAAAGCTGTCAATGTTGCTGGTAAGCGCTTTAAAGCAAGGAATTAAGTACAGACTAATAGTCACACATCATCTGTGTGTGGAGTCGTGTAAGAGAACATAACACGTATCCTCTTTGATGTAGTGCTTTTCTACTTCCTGTAGTTCAGAAGCACCACTCAGATGGTGGATTAGAAAAGTGACCTTTTCTTCATTAGCAAGAAAGTTTCTCTCTTGGCCCCCTGACCCTAGTTGAGACCAGGCAATGACATTTGCTGCCAGTTCTACAAAGCGTTTATATGTGCAATGCCAAGTTACATGGAGAGGGAGCAAGATACAGCCCTGGCAAATAAGGCCTGAGCTACAAACAGATTTTGCACTGGGATAATTATGTTGGTTAGGGGAGGGATTTGTTTTACCAATATAGTTATAGGGGTATAAACCCCTGGTGCAGATGTAATTATACTCTTATGCATTATGATTTATTAGTTATACTGCAATAGCATCTAGAAGCCCACTCATGGACCAAGACAACATAGTGCTAGGGCCTGTACAAACACAGAACAAAAAGATGGTCCCTGCTCCAAGTAGCTTACAATTACAAGAATTAAGAAGACAAGGGAATAAAGCTAATGCAATCCTTGGATGCATGACCAGGGGACTCTCGAGGAGGAGTAGAGAAGTTATCTTGTCTCTGTATTTGGCACTGTGCAACCCACTGCTGGAATACTGTGCCCGGTCCTGCTTTCCACAATTCAAGGATGATGGTGATAAATTGGAAAGGGTTCAGAGAAGAGCCATGAGAATGATTAAAGGATTAGAAAACCTGCCTTATAGCGATAGACTCAAAGAGCTCAATCTATTTAGTTCAACAAAGAGAAGGTTAAGGGGTGACTTGATCACAGTCTGTAAGTACCTACCTCTGGAATATACAGGGGCGGCTCTATGTCTTTTGCCGCCCCAAGCACGGCAGTCAGGCGGCCTTCGGCGGCATGCCTGCGGGCAGTCTGCTGGTCACATGGATTTGGCGGCGGTTCTGTGGGTGATCTGCCGGTCCCGCGCCTTTGGTGTACCTGCCGCCGAATTACCACCGAAGCCACGGGACTGGCGGACCTCCCGCAGGCGCGCCGCCGAAGGCTGCCTGACTGCCGCCCTCACAGCAACCGGTAGCTCACCCCCCGTGGCTTGCCGCCCCAGGCACGCGCTTGGTGCGCTGGTGCCTGGAGCCACCTCTGGGAATATATATATTGAATAATGGGCTCCTCAATCTAGCGGAGAAAGGTATAATACAATCCAATGGCTGGAAATTGAAGATAGACAAATTCAGATTGGAAACAAGGTATAATTTTTTTTAAACAGTGAGTAATTAACCATTGGAACAAACTGTCCTGGAGGATTCTCCATCACTGACCATTTTTAAATCAAGATTGGGTGTTTGTCTAACAGATCTGTTCTAGGTAGGAATTATTTTGGGGCAGTTCTTTGCCCTGTGTCATACACAAGGTCAGATTAGGATGATCACAATGGTCCCTTCTGGCCTTGGAATCGATGGGGGGGGGAAGCGATACTGATATAAGTACATTTATGCCAGTATAAGTGCGTCCACACTGGTACCCCTTTAATTATACCAGTCTAGTTAAAGCCCTACCATTGTGTGTGTAGACAAGGCCTTACATACATGCGAGATTGTCCTCGATGTTTTCTCCCTGTCACTACCTACACAGATTTCCTTTCCATCTTAGTTACAAATCTGCTTAAATAAAATTGGTTCATAAATCCAGTGAATGAGCACTGTTATAAAAAAAAATGAAATCCCCATTACAGCAAGAATTTCTAATGCATGTCAGGCCACTAGCTGATATAATAGTTAACTGCAAAGATGATCTTTATATTTTTCTTCCTACTTGGTTAATGCTTAAGGCACCTGCGATTTACTGATGCATTCAAGGCCAACATCCATTTCTCTATTTTTGTTGCTTTCAAGATTGATGCTTAAAAAAAAAAAAGTGGCTGTATTTTGTGAGTGCAGGTAATATTCAGAGCGAGACCTCAGGGCTCTGTTTTCTAATGGCTTTGTGAGATCCTCTCTTCATTGTCTGCTTGAAATCAGCAGTTTATTAGAAAGGGACTTGCAGCTCTCTGGGAACTTGGAGGACTTTCCAGTTGAACAGAGAAGGCCTCTGAAACTAGCCCAGAGAACTAGGTCCAGGCCAAGATTTTCAGAAGTGATTGTGCCTCCCTCTGCTTTTTGGGGAGTTCAATTTTCGAACTTTAAGACGTTCCTCATTTTCATAGGGTAGCTGCTCAGCACCTCTGAAAAATCAGGCTCTGTTTAGATGAATACTATCTGAAGCCAAAGAATGCCCATCCCAAGTAAGCAAGCAAACAAACATATATAAAAATTAAATGTAACATGCATCCAAGCAGGAGCTGCAAATTCAAGAACAGAAGCTGAATATCAAGGTAGGGATATTACAGATATTTTAGGGACCCAGACATATGAGATGCTGAATTCCTTCAGCTTCCATTGACTTCAGTAGGAGGTCACCCCCTAGTTCTGGCATTGCCATACACATTTTCATAGAAGAGCCCAAACTGAAGATCATCACAATGAATGCAACTATCCTATCCAGAAGTGCCATAGAATCATAACTAATGCCACATCTTCAAAATGTTGTCAGAGCTGACATAGGTATTGTCCACAAACAGGCCTGCCACAATAGTGGCTTAATATAAGCCATTATCTGTCCCAGGACGGTTGTAAGCAGTGCCTGTCACAAACTCCGTGGGAGTCAACAGAAATGGAGCAATCCCCATTTTAATTATTTTTTTGGCCCTTTGTTGTTGATTTTGTAACAAATGAAAACCGATTGCTGTTCCCAGGGGCTGATAAAGACCTTTTTTCTCTCTGTTCACCCTTTGTGAAAGCGGACTCCAGGCCTGGTCTGAATCACTACAAACTGACTACAAGGCCAGATTGACCATCCTTGCTCATGCTGCATAGCCCCTTAACTCCATTGTGTAGGGTTACCTCTGGAGTAGGGCAATGCTCAGTGTGAGAGAAGGTGGCAAAATTTGGCCTTGTGCTTGGACCATTGGTATAAAATATTACTGTTGTGGTTTTTTTCAAATGCATATAGCTCAGGACTCTTCGCATCAGGGCTAGAACCATGTGTGGAATTGCCACCTCTGAGCTATAAAACCGGGATCCAGGATGATCCTAAGTCAATAAAACATGACACCTGGCAGGGTGTACTGAGCATCCTTACAGATTTCCTGGGACAGCTACCTCAAAAAAAGGATGATCCTGGGAAAACCTAAACAGGTGGCAACCCTAACCACCTGGGTATTTTTTTACCTGCACTGCCAGTGTACACAAAGTCAACCATAGTTTGTATTCAATGTTGGCTTGCAAACTACCAAGGTGGTGGACACACAATTTTAAACACACAGTGTCTAATGAGAAGGTTTTTGCTTGTCTAGATATCTGCAAACCACCCGAGGCTGCTGTTTGGTGGTAAAATTTGAGCTTCCGAATAGTAGCCACACGAGTCAAGTCACATTAAATTTTCAAGAGTAGCCAATGGTCCCATATCTGGTGAGCCGCCGAGACTGAGTGATCTTGCCTAAATATCTGAACGTGGTGAACCCAGACCTTGTTGTGGCTTTGCAATGAGATCCACCCGTGGGAAAACAGTCTTAGTTCAAATCCGAACCTTGACTTTGCAAATCTATTTTTGCGAATAGATCAGGAACCAAACCAATGAAGGTTATTAATTAATTTTTCATTCCGGACATGCTCCTCAGGTACTGAAAACGTGCTGAAGGCCTGCTACACCCTGAGCGTCCCCTATGTTGTCTATACAAGCTCCATTGCTGCCGTGGGACCCAACACTCGACAAGAACCCATGCTGAGGTGAGCCTAAGCGGATCCGTTGCATTTGTCTGGTTTGTCCGATGACTGAAAGAAGAGCGTTGGAGCTGAAGCCAGCGTGGGGATTTTTGCTTGGACACGAGGGAAAGGCGTTTTTCCCTCCACAGTGATTCCCTTTTGTGCTGGTCCTTCCCTGCTACCATTCTCCTTGAGCAATTACAGCCTCAAACGTGGCCTAAATGCCAACGCTAGTGGATAAAACTCCAGGATAAAAAGTTTACCAAGTGGCATATGGCCCAGCTGCATATGACCTATGTATCAGTCAGATTATCAGCCCTTCCCATTGGCCACCTATCCCTGGCCTCAAGGCCCCGTTCCCCTAGATCCCTTGACCATATCTGAGCAGCTGCTAAGGGCTTGATTCTGCTTCCATTGAAATCAACCGTCGGTTTGGATCAGGACCAAAGAGTAAAATGTTCAAATGTGCCGCAGTTACTTAAGAGCCTACGCCCCATTTTCAGCAGTGACCGGCACTTAGGTTCCTAAGTTCCACTGACTTTCAATGACACGGGCTAACAAGTTTCAAAAGTGCCCAGGTGACTTAGGAGCTCAAGTCCCATTCATTGACTTTCAGTAGGACTTAAGCGCTTTTGCAAATGCTACCCCAACTCTTCTCTAAGGGGGGTGGCCTAGTGGCATGTAACTGTGCCCCCAATGGAACAGAGCAACAGTCCATCGAGTCTGGTCTCCTGAGCACTTGACACGTTATTTGCCTCAAAATAAACACACAACCCAAAACAGGGTGAAAAAAAGCTCCCAGCAGCCAGAGACTCGAATTCATTTAACTTCGTACCCTCTGGCTCATGTCCCATGTGGGTAGGGCAAATAGGAAATCCTTTTGAAAATATGGGCCCGATTCCCCTGTATCTGGTTGAAATCCAGAGTAAGTCAATGGACGCAAGGTGGTGTCAAGCGAGACAAGAACGAGGCCCATGGTCTGAAAACGCACCAGTTGCCTCTTAATGGAGCCCAGCTGGGAGGACTGGCAAACTGCACACTATGGCCATGGTCACCACACTGAAAATACATGCAATGCGGCTTCCCCCCGCTCTGTGCTTCTCTCTTGCAGCTCATGCGCCAGCTCTTCTTTCCTCTCCTCTGCCCCCCTCTCCCCATCATTCATTGTGTAATTATATTCAACTCACTTTTACATCCTGGTGAACTGACACAGACAAAGCCCGATTAGTCTCTGGACAGGGTGATGGGTGCTGGGATAATGCTAACACCTCAGCATCCGACAATAATAGAAAATGCCTCTGTCAGTCTCAATCCCTCTGAGAGAGCTACTGCTGAGATACCTTCTGACAATGCCGCTCCAGTCTCATTAGTGTTCAGTTATCTGTGATCATTTTGAAAAGCAAGAGCATTACACTGAGCTCTTTGTTACGGGCAAGCTTTAAAGGGTGGGGGGGATGAGAACTCCCAACAGCGCACTGCAGTCCAAGAATCACATGCACGTTCGTTACCCGTGGTGGAGCAGTTTCTTTTAAAGAGAAAAAGATCTGAAGATACAGAAAGAAAGTAATTAAAACTAGAACTTCTAGATAAACCTCCTAATTGTCTTGGGCCTCCAGAGGCTCCTAAGGGTGGAATGAACCATGCCCCACACGTGTGTTTTCTAGTTTGTTTGTCCTATGCGTCACCCACAGACAGGGAGTGGGGAGGACGGCCTTGTAATAAAAGAACAGGGCAGAAGGAGAGTTGAGTTTTTAATTCCTGACTCTTATTATTTATTTGTATTACTGCGGCGTCTAGCGGTCCCCATTGAAATCGGGGGCCCATTGCGCTAGACACTGTACTACTACATAGACAAAGGGTGGGGAGAGAGGAAGTATTACCACTCCATTTTACAGGTGGAGATCCGAGGCACAAAAAGATCAAGTAACTTGCCCCAGGTCACACAGGGCATCTGTGGCAAAGCCACAAACTGAACCCAGATCTCCTGAGGCCCAATCCAATGCCTTAATCAGATCATCCTTCCTATGGCCAGAGATTTAGTGAGAGAACTTGTGGCAAGTCCTTAACCTCTTGGTCTCACTTTCCCCATCTGTGAATGGGGGACAATAATACTGTACCGCAGAGGGATGTGGTGACACTTCACTCATTATTAGGCGAATGTCCTCTAGCAGCTCATGCTTTTTGTTCTGGGCATCCCTAATTCAATCCCCACTGTTGTGGGCAAAATGGTGGCTGCCACCCATGAATAGGGTGACCAGATGTCCCGATTTTATAGGGACAGTCTCAATATTTGGGGCTTTTTCTTATATAGGCTCCTATTACCCCCAACCCCCTGTCCCAATTTTTCACATTTGCTATCTGGTCACCCTACCCGTGAACTTCAATATCTGCTTAACCTCCACTGGCTCAGAGAATGTTCATGCCAGCAAACTCGTCTGCTAGACGATCCATGGAGGGTGGAATTCACTCCTGTGCACAAGGGCAGTGCAAGACTTAAGGCCTCTAGAGGACTCCAAGTCCCCTGGAGCCATGCATGGGTCTTCTGCAGGCACTCTGCCGGCAGGAGGGGGAAGGCGTGACTTTCACCCAGAGAGCAAAACACAAAAGGGAATTCATTAAAAACGTGCAGGAAGTTTCACTGACATTTTTTGCAGCATTTGCACACTGCTAAAGGGGACATAGACACACAGCAGGTAGGAAGATCGGAAGAACCAAAGCCTAGCGTCCTGGTAATTACAGGAAGTACAGTGTGTGTCCATATACACTTGATCCTAATGGATGATCCCTGCTTAGTGCTCCAGAGGAAAGCAGATTTTCCCTGCTCCCCCATCTCTCAAGATCTCTTCCCCCTGCTGAAATTCCTTCCAGATTCCACACGGAGCTAGACCCCACATTGTTAGCATCTATGGTTTATTCACTAACCAAGCCAGGTAACGATGGACAACATTCCAGGGTTCTGTCAAGAGGCAATCCTCTGGTATGCTTGCTCTGTCCTCCCTTTCTGTAGCTGATTATTGCAGGTGTCTGTGTGGCTGATTATTCTATAGCTCTTCCATCCCCCCATGCTGTGGGCCTCCCCCTCCTTCACTCAGTAGTAAGTTAAGATCCACAGCTAGCCTGGGGCATGTTCTGCTCCTTTTAGAGCAGCAGCAAAGTGCTCCCCGCACTGCATCCATCTGGGCCTGCTCCCTGCAACTACAGAAAAGGTCCTTGTGATAGCCAGACAGCTGGAACGTCTTTGCTTGCCTCCTAAGAACAGGATTTGCCCATAATATAATATAAAATAAAGCAACTGGTATTAACACTTCCATGCGATCACCTAATACTGTATGCAGCCCTTTTACGTGTCTACTATGCTTGCAAATGCCTTATAATGAATAGTATTGGAAAATTAAACAGCAACTGCTCCTTCTAATTTATGCCAAGTAATGGGCCTCTCTCTCTCTTTTAGCTGTGAGTGCTTTTATTCTTTCTACCCTTTATCTTCCTGGGCCACATTCAGCCATTTGTGGGTTGCTAGAAAAGCCGAGTCTATTGTTTTCAGAGGTGCCTACTTCTTTTGAAATATTATTTGCTTCAGTCATTGTATGTCATGTGGCAGTGAGTTACACAGGTTAATTTGACATAGGCAAACCCCACTAAACAAAAACGAGAACAAACCAGCAATAATACAGCCCAGTGAATACGTTTTGTAGTGTTGAAAACAGTTCATACTCTGGGCTGTTGAGACCTCAGACTCCCCCAGTATTTATCAGGGCCTCATTCTCCCAGACTCCCAAGACCAGGAGCGCCACCAGCTTTTCTGCCGCTCTAGGCAGCGGAAGGTCCCACCCCGAAATGCCGCCCCCCACAGAGGCTGCGGAAGGTCCCGCCGCCGAAATACCGCCGCGGTCGCCGCCCCCCAAATTGTAGTACCCTAAGCAACCGCCTAGGTCGCCTAATGGGTTGCGCCGGCCCTGCCCAAGACATGTAATTCGTAGCCAAAGGTGAGATGTTGCCTAGCAGCTTTGTGGCAGTCTCTTGTAGTACCCTGATCACTTACTGCTTCTTTTCATTTATCTCAGAGGAACAGAAGACACCAAGTACAGTGGGGAAGTGGAACTGCCTTATGGGAAGACTAAGGCCATGGCAGAAAAACTGGTACTTGAAGCCAATGGAAAAGAGGTACAAAAGTCCGACAGCAGCCTCAGTACCATAACGTAGGATTTACGGAAGGCGAGAGCCCATGATTCTCTTAATACAATCCCGCCACTCAAAGCTGATCAACTACAAACAGCTGCAGTTTTGATTTCCCATAGAAAAGCCTTCAATTGATTTATGCTGGGTGTTCCCACAGCATCATAAAGCAGACCGTAACGCTCCAAGGCCCGGATTTGGCAAAGCATTTTAAGCACATGCTTAAATTCCATTGCAGTGAATGCCACTTATGAGTCTTAAAAACTTACACTTGGTCTGTGTTAAATTATGGCTGTGAAACATGGACAGTCAAGCAATCAATTATAAAGAAACTACAATCCTTCCAATTATGGTGTGTTAGAAGAATTCTGAAAATATCATGGATAGACCACGTAACCAGTGAATGAGTATTAGAGAGACTTGAAACTCAGAAAATTCTAGTTAAAGATCTTATGAAAAGAAAGATTTGATTTATAAGGTATATTTTAAGAGGTTTAGTGGGTAATGCACGTTTATGGGCACTGGAAGGGAAAGTTGTTGGCAGAAGAACACGAGACAGAAAAAGATCTTGGATAGACAATGTGGTACCCTGGATGGATCAACAGGACTATTTATTCACAAAGAAATAAGCAGAGGAGTGTATAGAATGGGCTACCAGGGTTGCAAACCTCCAGTAATGGAGATGCCTCATAGGAATAGAATATTACTTAAGCATGAGCTCAAGTGCTTTGTTGAATCAGGGCCCACATTGACCTTAATATCCCATGTAAGTGGATATTCAAAAGTCCCTAAGTGAGATAGGAGTCTAAGTCCCAATTTCAAAAGGGATGTCCACACTGCATAGTACACCTGACCTCTGACTCAGGTTCAAGATAAGTCCCTCTTCTGTCCACACAAATCAGGCTGACTCGGGTCAGCAAGTACTCAGGACCCAGGTTCTCAGACCCCACTAGGAGGGTTGGGTCAGAGCCAGAGTCCTGCTGTGAGTGGGGTCCAAGCCCTGTCATTTTGCAGTCTGGATGCAGCTCAAGTCACAGACCTAAGTCAGAAGGTCTTCCCAGTGCAGTATGGACGCATAGAATGGCTGAGAGGCCCAGGTCCAGCAATTGTAAATCCAGGTTTACAATGCATGGTGGATGCTCAAGCACAGGCTTGAAATCACTGAGTCCACAAGCCCGAGTGCCACAGAACTGGGCTTAGTGTGCTGTGTAGACCAGGGTTCAGCAACCTTTCAGAAGTGGTGCGCCGAGTCTTCATTTATTCACTCTAATTTATGGTTTCGCGTGCCAGTCATACATTTTAACATTTTTAGAAGGTCTCTTTCGATAAGTCTAATATATATAACTAAACTATTGTTGTATGTAAAGTAAATAAGGTTTTTAAAATGTTTAAGAAGCTTCATTTAAAATTAAATTAAAATGCAGAGTCCCCCAGACAGGTGGCCAGGACCCGGGCAGTGTGAGTGCCACTGAAAATCAGCTCGCGTGCCGCCTTTGGCACATGTGCCATAGGTTGCCTACCCCTGGTGTAGACATTCCTTAGGCACTTAGGTTCCTAAGTCCAATTGACTTTCAAAGAGACTTGGGCATTTCAATGGGAGTTAGGCACCTTGGCACTTTTGAAAATCCCACTAGGATGCAACCTTAGGCATCTGAATATCTTTGAAAATCTGGCCCCAAGTGCCTAAATCATTTCTGAAAACGGGACTTCACAGTGTTTTTTCAAAAGTGCCTAAGCAGTTTAGTAGTCCCTTTATTTCCACATGGCATGCTTTGTATTTAACAAACACAAAAATACCATGGAAGATCTCATCCTCGAATCCATAGCCTGCTAACATTCTGTGTGACCTGAAGAACAACCCTGTGTAAGCATGAAAGCTTGTCTCTCTCACCAACAGAAGTTGGTCCAATAAAAGGTATTACCTCACCCACCTTGTCTGTCAAACATTCGGTTTTGATTTTACAGCTAAGCAATGGTGGCAAACTTGCAACATGCATCATCTGTCCAAATACAATTTATGGGGAGAAGTATCTGGTTCTAAAGGACTTGCATACCTTGGCTAAAGCCAAAGGGGGTGTGTTGGACTACCTGGAACCCGAAGATACAGAACGTAATTGGACATACGTAGGTGAGTATGTTGCTTTGATTCCTTTACAGGTTTTTACCAGATTATTTTTTAAAGGGTCAATCTGATTTTTGGCCATGAGACTATTATACACCCTGGATAATGTTCCGACAGTGAGCAAGGAATGTAAAGAATGAACACAGAAATAATTTTAAAAACTCTAAATAGGGCCGGCTGGGAAAAAAAAATTAAGGGTTTTCTGGGAAAAAAATTAAAAAACAACTTTATTATTTTGTTCTAATTTTTTGTATGGAATTTTACTCTTTTTTTTAAACAAAATGAAAAATCCTTTAGAACACGGAAAAAACTTGCAATGGAAAAAAAAAGGGGGGGGGAGGGAAGGTGGCAGAAATGTATTTTTTCTTCCAGGGATGGGCGGGTGGGGAATATTCCAGGAAGGGAAAAAAGCAAAACCCCCAGAATTTGAAAACGTACTGGTTTTCAAAACAAAATTTTTCATCTCCTAGAAACAAAATTTCAAACCAAATGAAAATTTTTGTTTGAAAAGTCTCGCCTCTTCTTTTTAAACCCTGTGTTAGATTGGGGGAGGGAGACACGAAGGCAGGAGAGACCAACCAGTTCTATTTGTAAAGTTTGGAAAACTTTCCTTGTGGAAGGAAGAGAGCGACTGAATTTAATAGGGATTAAACCAACAGGATTCTATGGAAATTTAAGATGATTCTGTAGAAAAACCTATAGAATTTAATACAGAAGAGATCCTTTTATCGGTATGTTGAACCGTACTGTAGCAGGGATAGAATTATCCAGTAAATCTTCCAGATTTAAGAATAGAGTAATCTCCAAGGATGGAATTACAGGGGTTTGAAACCACTGTTAGAGGAGAGTCAGGCCAAATAGGTTAAGTGACTTGTCCAAAGACATGCAGGAGAGCCAGGAATAAAACCATTGAGTCCAATCTGTCTCTGACTATGAAATATTGCCCCTTCATTTCCCATGAACCAAAGTCACAATGGACACTTGTTGGCCATCTCAAAAGGGGAACTAGAGATTGAATGGACCTTGCAGAGGCGGCTCTAGCTTTTTGGCTGCCCCAAGCATGGCAGACAGGCTGCCTTCAGCGGCATGCCTGCGGGAGGTCCGCTGGTAACGTGGATTCGGCGTACCCGCCGCTGAATTGCTGCCGAATCCACGGGACCGGCGGACCTCCTGCAGGCAAGCCGCCGAAGGCTGCCTGACTGCCGCCCTCGCAGGGACTGGCAGGGCGCCCCCCGCGGCTTGCCCCCCCAGGCACGCGCTTGGAGCGCTGGTAGGGTGACCAGACAGCAAATGTGAAAAATCGGGATGGGAGTGGGAGGGAGGTAATAGGAGCCTATATAAAAAAAAAGACCCAAAAATCGGGACTGTCCCTATAAAATCAGGACATCTGGTCACCCTAAGCGCTGGTGCCTGGAGCCGCCACTGGACCTTGCATATTTTGGGCAACGACCAGGTCCCTCCAGACAGGGCGGGCTCCAGGGTTTTTGCCGATCCAAGCAGCAAAAAAAAAAAAAAAAAAAGCCGCGATCGGGATCAGCTCTACCGCCGCCGCTTCAGTCTTCGGCGGCAATTCGGTGGCTGGTCCTTCGCTCCGAGAGGGAGTGAGGGACCCTCCGCCGAATTGCCGCCGAAGAGCCGGATGTGCCGCCCCTCTCCGTTGGCCGCCCCAAGCACCTGCTTGCTGGGCTGGTGCCTGGAGCCGGTCCTGCCTCCAGACTAAGGTTGGGTGACAAAAGTGAGGCAAGATGGAAAAAGATGCTCTGCCTACGAAACATGCAGAGGTGGGGCATGCATTCAATCTAGTGTAAGCTCTTGTAATACATGGACCAAGCTGGCTCCTCCTCCATTCCTACTCTCCCTTCTCCTTCTCCAGGGAATGCTGCATGGATGCATGTGCTTGCAGCCCGGAACTTGCAGCTGAAACCAGACGTACTTGCTGGGCAGGTGTATTATTCCTACGATGACACCCCAACGAGGAAAGGCTTCCTAGTGAGATATCAGCTGTTGTCAGGGATGGACCCCTCAATAAGGCTGGGCTCACGCATACCTTACTGGAAGCTATGGTTACAAATATACGTTTATAGGATAATCAGGATCCTTTTGTACCCCTTTTGGAAACCACGGCCCTTCCTAAACTTGCCTCTGCTGAATACAATAACCACCACCTTCTCCTATGAGACAGACAAAGCCTTCAGGCATTTCGGGTACACCCCCCTCTACAGCTGGGGAGAGAGTAAACGCCGAACTACGGAGTGGTTAAAGTCAGCTACAAAGAACTCGAGATCCCATCAGCACCACGGGAAGGAGACCTAGATGGCACTTTTAACACAAAGAGAGCTTATCCCCTTCAGTGAATTCCATCTGAATTTGGTCATGTGCATAACTTTCCCACTAGGAACCAAGCAGAGACCCTCAACTCATTACACCTAGACTAACACAGAGCAATGACTTCCACCTACTATTATGTATCACTTCTCCACTCCCCAGGAGCCATAAACTTAATATGCATTTTCCATTTGACAATATCTACTTGCAGCAGCAGACATATGAGGGGCCATGTCCCACAGCCTTTACTCACTTCAGTAGCCCCATTGGCTTCATGGCCTTTCATCGGAGGAAGGAATGCAGGGTCAGACCTGTGATTTGTGAGGCTGAATAGAATCTTTGTACAAAATTATTTTTGGTAACCAATTTAATTCCACATCCTGAATAAGCTACATCCTTTTCCAACAGCAGGACTGGCACTTTTAAAGTGATCTCGAACAGCCATTTTTTAGTTAGTGGACTGTCTTTATTTCACTTATACACTCAAGAGGTCTTTAATTGATAATTCTTAGGGGGGTGAGGAGAACTCTGGAAATCCCCTCTCAATTTTCGGGTTTTAGATATATATAGCTATGGGCTTTCATCACTATCCTTAGAAGCAGCTTTCACATCTACCTTTTTCCAAAATCCTTTCTGCCACTCAGCTTGTACATTTTACCTTTAAAAAAACCCCCGAAACCTAACATTGTAACAAACATAAAAGTTACCTTGCAATATCTCGAGGTGACAATTGGTCAGTCTAGTTACATTCTTATTTCTATGGTTTGATAATTGATGTCAGAGTGTTGGATGCATTTTGCAACTTGAATAAAAATTATACTGGATCGGAGTCTCATTTGCACAGAGATTATTTTTCACGGCTCTGGCAGTACAAAACAACCTTAAAGTGGGCGAAAATGTAATTTTAGTCCCACATGAAGCCCCTTTCCACTGCCAGAATGGTGTAAAGGAGAATCAGGCCCGACTTGCATTAAATGAAGCCCTTACATTCAGAGTTTGGAGAGGGAGGGGGTCATTTTAACCCATCTCACTGCGCTTGACTATGCAGTACGTATAGTAATATAACATGAGGCACAGCTTGGAAAATTTTGTAATAACTAGGGCACAAATGGGGCAGGCAGTCATATGAAATTTAGAGCTGAAACTGAATCTCTGTTGTGCTTTATGTCGGCTTACCAAACCCTCACCATATTTTGTACATTAGCTGAGTGAACAGCAGAAAATTTTCCACCAATATTCAAGTACAAATTAATTTCTACTAGAATTGATCTGGTTCACAACACTTCCGTGGGCTGTGAACTTTCAAGCTTTACTTTAGTGCAAGCATTCATCGAAGGCTAATTTTAATTTCAATTGCTCAAATATTCACAAAAACACAAATTTTGTTGGTGCTGTATATTTGATCAGACTAGTGGCCAGTTACATTAATCATCCAGTCAGGAAACAGAAGCAAGACCACATGACTGACTTAAATCAAGTTAGCAGGAATTTCCTCAATCACCTCTTTGCAAAATGATCTGCCTAAGCAGAATTGTTTGCTAAAGAAATATGTAAAGAATTTCACACAACAAACAGGTCTGGAGAAATTTGCAATCTGTTCACACAATATGCAAAGGTGAAATTCATTGAATAAATTATCAGTTGCAGATTTTTTCCATTCAGCGCTGCTGTGTCTATAGCGTCTTTCATTTCATTATGTTACCCTTTTTACAGATATTGGGGTTTTTAACTTAGCAGCAGATGGCAGCTTGCTAAGATTTTCACAAAGGAAAAAATATACATTGTCGGAACATCTCCAGGTTCTAGCAAATATTGTCCGGCAGTGGTTTTTAAAGCTTTGGAAATGCTTCGTATTCTGTTGCCACTGGATGGAGCTACAAGTCCAGTTGTAGGGCACTTTTCCTTCTGATTTAAATGTGTGGTAACAACTTTTGCTTTAACTGGCTTCTAAAGGCACTGAAGTCTTCCCTTGCTGGTCAGGCGAACTGGTTTATGCTCCATCTAGGTTTTTAAGAGTCTTCGGCCCCTGGCATTCTGAATTTTTCTTTTTGAATCAGTAAATTAACTAAGTGTTTCTATAGTCTGCCTGGATGAAGCAACCTTCTCATTGACTTATACTGATTTACTCAAAGCCACCTAAAGAGAGATTTTCAAACCCAAATTCCTATAAGAGAGTGGGAATTGGGTATTCAAATCCCATTGGCAACTTTGAAGATCTCAGCCTGGGTGCATATTTGATGATTTCCGATGTGCCAAGCAGCCTTTGATACAGCTCACTGTGGGATTTTGTGAAGATACTAGTTGGGGGGAAATGAGGTTGCTTTTGTCAGGCTGCATTCTCTTATCACAGAGCATGATTGATGCTGGGCAATTGCTTATCTGCTCTCTGATTTCCCTCATGCAAAGATCCACTTGGTGATTTTCTGGCTCTCCTCCTGCTCAACATGCATGCAAGGCCACTGGGGAGATAGTGAGAGGATCTGGGCTGCCATCAGCATGCAGATGATACGCAGCACCATGGACCAGGTTTTCAAAGGTATTTAGGTGCCTAAAGATGCAGATGGGGGCCGAGCAGGGTTTTCTACAGTTCCTCAACAGGGTAGGCGCCCAACTCCAGAAGAATCACTGATTCAGAGTGATCCAGATCGCCTGATAAACTGATATCAAACAAACAATGTGTGTTCCTATATGGCTAAATGTAAATGTACACATCTAGGAACAAAGAATGTAGGCCATACTTACGTGGGGGCGGGGGCTCTCTATCCTAGGAAGCAGTGACTGGAAAAGATTTTGGGGTCATGATGGATAATCAGCTGAACACAAGCTCCCAATGCGATGCTGTGGCTAAAAGAGAGAATGTGATCCGGGGATGCATAAACAGGGGAATCTCGAGTAGGAGCAGAGAAGTTATTTTACTCTGTATTTGGCAGTGGTGTGACCATTGTTGGAATCCGGTGTTCAGCTCTGGTGCCCACAATTCAAGAAGGATGAATTGAAGAGGGTTCAGAGAAGAGCCCTGAGAATGATTAAAGGATTAGAAAACCTGCCTTATAGTGATAAGCTAAACAGAGGGAGCTCTTTGAGTCTAACAAAGAAAAGGAGAAGTGGTGACTTGATTACCGTCGGTCTCTACATGGGGAACAATTATTTAATAATGGGCTCTTCTAACAAAGAAAGCTATAACATGACCCAATGGCTGGAAGTTGAAGCTAGACCAATTCAGAGCAGAAATAAGACGTACATTTTTGACTGTGAGAGAATTAACCATTGGAGCAGCTCATGGTGGTCTCTCCATCGCTGACCATTTTAAAACGGAGATTGAATGTTTCCTCTAAAAGATCTGCTCTAGGCATTATTTTGGGCAAGTTCTCTGGCCTGTTGTACAGGAAGTCAGACTAGATGACCACAATGGTCCCTCCTGGCCTTGGAATCTACGCCGTTTACATCCCCTCCTTGTACCGTTCCAGCTTTGATAAAAGGGAGGAGAGGATTCCCTTTCTCTGATCCATGATATGGGAAAAAAGCACTCAGCAAAGTCTCATTGCTGTTTTCCAAAGGGATGAGTAAGCTTCCTTTGGCTGTGCTGCAAGCGATTTGCATTTTGGCTCCTCTGAGTCAATGCTACTGCAGATTTCCTGTTAGATATTTGATTTATCAGATTATAACTTGTTTTCTCTTGGCAATCCTTTAATTCCTTCCCTGCATTGGGCTTCATTCTCTTCTCCTTCCAGGGTCCCAACCCTATTATGTAACACACATTAAAAAAATGTCTGTTTCTCCTTCTGGAGAAGAGCCTTTGTGTGTAATTATTCATCCAAAAGATTCAGCAGGTATAACTGCTTCCCCTGGGGGCTCCATTGTATAATTGGATTTCATCCATACAAATTAAATCCGATCTTTACCCCTTAGTTAAGCCAAGCAGTAAGTATTTAATGCTAATATCCCTGACAACTACTGCAGAAAGAAAAGAAGAAGAAATATAGAAAGGAATACAAAGTGTTCTCCGCCAGAGAAATAAATGGCACAGTAAAAAGAGGTGCTAGCACAGGGAGAGCTGCCATCTTTTTGCCATGGCAGCTGTCAAAGCTACCAATACAAGCCCTGTTTGAGGAGTTAATTTATCTCCGGCCTTGATGTCCCATTCATCTCATCCTCTCTCTCTCTCCCCCCCATACTGCCACTTACACACTGAATACACTTCCCCAAACTACATGCCTGCCCTCATTCAAGTTCCCATGCAAGACAATCATCTTCAGCGATGCCTATGAGAAGTGATCTAAACACATGAGTTATTCCCTCTTCTGGGTTTCCCAGTGCATTCTGTCTTTACTAGGCGGGCCTTTTTAGACAGGAAGCCCTTTGGGCAGTGACCATCTCCCTTTGCATCCTGTACATCAATCCAATTGTTACTGTGTAATAACTAATAATAAAAGAAAATAGCTCATCGCCATGTGACTGGCGTTAAACTGGCGAAGTCTGGAACAATCTCATATCGACAGGTTTTAAGCCAGGATATACAGGAAAAGAATGGCATGAATCTGGTCCCCAGCCACACACAGATACCGGAGAGATGCTTTATATACCTGGCTACACTGCTCTTCTCCGCCACATCTATCGTCTATTTGACACTTTGCTTCACAACAGGATTCGCCGTCACCACAAAATTATTGAGAAGGATGATGCCGCCTCATTTTCCAGTAGTTTTTGTATTTCTCCCTACTCCCCCGGGAGTTCAGGAGCGAGGGTCTCATTGATTTTCAATGGGACATGTGCCCCTCAATCCTTCAGATGCTTTCGAAAGCCTCCCCTTAAAGCAGAGTGCTGTCCAAGATGCAAATCTGAATCCCGATGCAGACTTCAAAGTCTATGTGTGTTCAGAGCTGGAGCAATGGTTTATTCCATTATAGAGAGAACCTAGAGCCACAACGCTGTCATCTGGTGAGCACTTCAGTGGTTCCATTGCACTCAATATGAACACTATGCTCATAAATGTGACAAAGGTTTGCACCCTAGTCTAACTCGAAAGCATTTCACAAAGACAATAACTGGAGGGAAAGCACTTCCATATTAAATATGTATCTTAAAAGAATACAAGAAAGAGATGTAGGAAGAGACACTATAGTATAGCAGTGGCTATTTATATGGGGGAAATGCACCGAAATACCCATGTTCTGGAAGACAGTCATCGGACGTTTTATACTGATTTCCTGCTGTTTAGCAATTAATTGCCATTAAGCAATTGAACGTGGACTGCTTCATTATAATTCACAAGTTTTATGTATTATATAAATACAATTGCACATATGTTTTTGTGATTTTTCATTTAATTGAATTCCAAGGAGATTCATCTCCTATGTTATTAATATATCTTAAATGGCCTATAACATGCAATTGATACTTAATTAACCTGCAGTAACCGCTTTGTAAAATGTAAATTAAATGCTTTATTTTTTCCAGGCGTATAATGTTAAATAAAATGTAACACTTTATTCTACCAGCAGAGCCACAATAAAAGATTCCAAACTACAAAATGACGTAAGTGGGAAACGGATTTGGCCAACAATTAAGGGTGTGATTTTTCCAAAAGTGCTGAGCATTGACACCACTCTGCTCCCCATAGAAGTCCAGGCCACTTTTCCCGTTGACTTTAATATGAGCAGCAATAGACCAATTCGGAAGACCTTTGAATATCCCACTCTAAATAGCCACTGTGTAAGGGACGTATGAACAACCTAGTTCCTCCTTGTCCACCACAAACATGCTGGCCCGGGTCTTAATCAGGTTTTAATCTTTACTAATGTGAATGTTTCCTCTCTGGCCTACTCATTG